AGGAGCAGGACCTGGCGCGGGGAGGGGGTCTACCTGGGGAGGACCTGGGGCGAGAAAGAGCGGCGGGGGGGGGCGAGGAGCAGTGCGGTAGGGGAAGAGGCGGTAAAAGGGGACGGACTCGTCAAAGGTGACGTCCTGGGACGCAAAGACACGGCGCGAGGCGGGGTCATAAAACTGCCAGCCAGGCGCGTCAGGGACAAAGCCAAGGAAGACGCAAGGAATGGCGCGAGGGGAGAGCTTGTCCGCGGTGGTATCGCGGACAAAGGCACGAGCACCCCAGACCTGGAAACGCGACGCGTCGCCAACCGTCCTCGTCCACAGCAGTGTGGGCGAGGTCTCCGGCAAGGAGACACGGGGCTAAAGGTTGAGCTGATGCGCGGCGTACCGGACCGCAAACGGCCACATAAAATGGGGGGCAGCCGCATGGATCATGGAGGTACGAGCGACCTCCATGACTAATCCAATGCGGCGCGCAGCAACCCCATTCTGCTGCGGAGAGGCCGGAAGCATGAAAGTCTGGCGGATGCCGTGCTCCGCACAGAAGGCTGCCAAGAGGTCTGAGGAGAACTCACCACCTCTGTTAGAGTGCAGACGCAGGACAGGAAAGTCCGACTGGAACCGCTCGCGGAGCTGGAGACGAGTAGCGCGGATCCAGGGGAGCAAAACATCAGGGACATCCCCCTTGCGCTGCAAGGGGAAGACCGTGGTGTAGCGCGTGTAGTCGTCGACAACCAGTAGGAAGTACCGCTCGTGGCCCTGTCCACGGACGCGGGCTGGGCCCCACACGTCCAGGTGGAGAGTCTGCAGTGGAGCCTCTGTGGGAGGGAACGAGGAGGAGTGAGGAGCGGCGCGCTGCCGCCCCTCGACGCAGGGAATGCAGGGTGGCACAGGCGAGGGAGGGAGGGGAGGCAGAGACCTGGGAAGACCAGAAACCAGGAAGCGGGAGTGCATGCTGCGTAGGCGAGGCAGGGAGGGGTGACAAAGGCGGTGGTGCCACAGGAGAGTGTCGTGCGACAGCCGGCGACACTCACACTGTGTAGCTACCTGAGCAGACGCGTGCAACTGGGGAGACAAAGGGGCGGAGCGCGACGCAGTGGTGAGGGTGTACAGACTGGACCCTGGCGCACGAGCGAACGTGGCCAGGTGGCGACCAGTCTGGGAGCACGTGCAAATCGCCACACGCTGCCGGCCAGGGGTGAAGGTGTCAACCCCCGCATCCTGGAGGACAGCGTTACTCACCAAGTTCGTAGAGAACGAGGGGAGGTGGAGACCAGACAGCTTACCAGACGGGACCGCCGGACACGGAAGCACGGTGGAAGACCGTGCAAGCACTGGGCCCCCAGAGGGGTCAGCTAGTGAGACAGGAACAGGTGCAGGGAGGGGAGTGACTGTGGTACTGTCGCGAAAGAAACAGCAGGAAGCACCAGAGTCAAGTGTAAAGGTGTGCAAAGCCTGTGCAGGCGCAGTACCAAGGGGAGCAGACTCACAAGCACCTAGTGCTGCAGGGGCTATACCAAGGGCTATACCAGGATCCGGCGGCACACACAAGTAGCAGTCACCCTCAGCACTAACAGACAATGCATACATAGCAACAAGAATTGCCTCATAGTCAAGATCAAAGATAGGTACATCACGCCTAAGCAAGTCTGCCCAGTTGGGGAACTCAGGAGCATCAGGAAACTTGGCGCGCCAGGCGTCGCTAAGCCGAGCGAAGCAGCGCTGCTCAGTGTGAAAACCTGTGCACTGGCGACCAGCGCGGGGACCTGTGCGGATGATATAGGGGCAGCGACCAGGACCCCCAGAAGCCCCACGCCCGGCATACCAGTCAAGAAGCTGCTGGGAAGTGGGGGTCTGGCGCTGACGCTGATGCTGCTGCTGCTGCTGCTGCTGCGGCTGCTGCTGGCCCTGACCACCAATGCCACTACCGCTCCCTCCTCCCCCACCGCCGCTGCTGCCCCCTCCACCGCTCCCAGTGCCTCCACCGCCCCCACCACCACCTCCACCGCCGCCACCCCCACGACCACCCCCACCACCTCCACCTCCCCCGCCGCCTGCACCACCGCCACCTCCACCGCCACCCCCACCGCCCCTGCCACCCCTGCCGCCCCTGCCGCTGCGACGCTTCCCACTAGGAGCGGAAGCAGCTCCGACCCCCTCAGCACCAAGGTAGTCGTGAGCAGCAGCTGCGGAGGCGTAGGAGGGGGTGAGAGGGGAGGGGGAGCACCCCTCAAAGAGGGGAGAGCGAGGAGTGCCACGAGCAGCACCTACAGCGAGGATGTTCTTCTCTGCTGCGAGGAGGTGCTTCTCGAAGTCGTCGACAGTGAGAGTGATGGGGTCTAGCGCTAGGAAGTGGTCCCTGACAGAGCTAAGAGTGTCAGGGAGGTGGGTGACGAGGAAATAGAGAGTGAAGTACATCGGGGGGGGGGGGGGGGGGTTTGCGGCGCAGAACTCGGCTGAAAGAGCGGCACGAAAGCGAGAGTCAGTAGCGCGCATGTGAGAAACTAGGTCCTCAGCAGTGGTGAACGAGGAAAGATCGGGGAACAGGTACGGTAGCATGAGTCGACCTATGGCTGCAGTGGCCGGGGAGGAGTAGCGCGCAACTACAGCGTTGTACAGTATCTTAGCAGTTTGGTGTTGGCTGAAATGCGCTCGCTCAGTAATCGGCAGGTGGTTCCTAATAGCTAGGCGTGCAGCAGCATCACGAGTCTGCCACTGGGAGCGTTCTAGAGCAGGAGCATCAGCAGCAGGAGTAACGGCAGTGCCAGAGACGTAATCAAACAGGGAAACGCCCTCTTTGGCATCAGTCAGAAGGAACAGCTGGAGATTGTCTAACCACACAGTGAACTCGATGGGACGACCGTCAGGCTCGAACGCTAGAACGTTGGGCGTCGCCATATTGGCTTAAGGCAGGAGGCAGCAGGCAGCAGGCAGCAGGCAGAGGCAGCAGGCACCAGGTAGGAGGCAGGTGGCAGGCAGGCGGCAGCAGGCAGCAAGCAGGCAGGCGGCAGCAGGCAGCAAGTAGCAGGCAGGCAGCAGGCAGGCAGCAGGCAGGCAGCAGGCAGGCGGCAGCAGGCAGCAAGCAGCAGGCAGGCAGCAGGCAGGCAGCAGGCAGGCTGCAGGCAGGCGGCAGCAGGCAGCAAGCAGGCAGGCAGGCAGGCGGCAGGCAGGCGGCAGCAGGTAGGCTGCAGGCAGGCGGCAGCAGGCAGCAAGCAGGCAGGCAGGCAGGCGGCAGGCAGGCGGCAGCAGGCAGCAAGTAGCAGGCAGGCGGCAGCAGGCAGCAAGTAGCAGGCAGGCAGCAGGCAGTAAGTAGCAGGCAGGCAGCAGGCAGGCAGCAGGCAGGCGGCAGGCAGGCGGCAGTAGGCAGCAAGCAGCAGGCAGGCTGCAGGCAGGCGGCAGCAGGCAGCAAGCAGGCAGGCAGGCAGGCGGCAGGCAGGCGGCAGCAGGCAGCAAGCAAGCAGGCGGCAGCAGGAAGCAAGCAGCAGGCAGGCAGCAGGCAGGCAGCAGGCAGGAGGGCTGCGTGAGGCTGCTGGCTGCGTGTGGCGGCTTGCTGCACGAGGCTGCAGGCTGCGCGTGGCTACGGGCAGCGCGCGCGGCCGCAGGCTGCGTGCGGCGACGGAATGCGCGGGCTGTGGGCTGCTTGCAGCTGCGGGCTGCGCGTGGCGACAGGCAGCGTGCGCGGCTGCAAGCTGCGTGCGGCTGCGGGCTGCTCTGGGCGACGGGCCGCACTAGCGTGGCTGCGGGCTGGTCGCTAAGCTGCGGGCTGCGCTGGGCGACGGGCCGCGCTAGCGTGGCCTAACCAGGTTGCGCGCGGGCGGCTTAAGGGGCGCACAGGTGGGGCTGAAACGGGCTGCGCGGGCTGCTAAAACGGCGCACGTGGGAAAAAAAAAGGACCGCCCGAGGCGCGCGCGGGCAGCCGAGGCGCGCGTAGGCACTAGACAAGGCAGGCAAGCGTGGTGGGCCCTAATCCTAGGTCCTAAGGACCTATGCTCTATACCATGTTAGAATCATAGGCAGAAAGTGATGTCGACTATCGAGAGGGTTGGTACAAAGAATGAACCTAAGGGGTTGTACCCCACAGTGTGTACCCCACTAAGCCTACCCAAACTATAACATAGATATACATATGTTTGACAGGCTTCTCATAGGAAAAAGCTACATACCACCGGGGTGCATATATATGACATTTTTTTAGTGTAAGGGTTTCTATAAATAGGCAGCTCGGGTGTTTTCAAGGTTGGTTTAGCATCACACTTGGAAGCGAGATTGTCAGTTTCGACGACAACATTGACTCCTCCTTGAAGTTGCGAGGTGGCACCTCTTTGGCCACTTGATAGCGAAAGAACTACCAGCGTGGCAACAGTGAAAAAGTGGGACGGAGGTGACCCCAGCAGATACTTTCGAAATTACCATGTAATTTCGTGCAAAAAGTGATCATCGCAATGTCCCCCCGTCATTGCACATACGGTACTCGTTAACCCCTAAAATAAGGCATTCTGTGTAAAAAAGGGGGTGTTATAAAAAATCACCCCAAAAGGGGGGGTATAGTACAAACGGGGTCAACTATAACACCCACCCCGCACAAGCCACCCGGGGGGTCTACAATTTCGGCGGGTGGTATGTCCGGGTGATTACGGTACTAACTACCCACCTTGAAATTCAGAAAAAACAATGCCCGTGTCTGTAGGCTAGATCCATTCAACAGGTGAACCAATCTACGGGTACGATATGAAACGCAAAAACTGATAATTGGTCAATTAGGTATTTTGCAGATCATGTCACAGAAAGTGGAAACGAAACGGAACCCAGCTCCCAAATACGGTACATTATCAGGACTAGAGAAGTATCCAAACAAACTGAACAGGAGGTATCATGTCACTAGATCCAATCACAGGTTATGCATCAGGTAAATACACCCACACCCAACGTCCACCACCCATCTGGTCAGTCTGCCTTTGAGGTGCCTAAAGAATATAGCTGAAACAAGATGTCACTCTTGCCAATCACAGGTTGTGCATCAGATCAAAGCACCCACTCCCAACATCCACCACCCTCCCAAGCGCAATCCTCGAAGACGGAGACTCCATCCGATCAGTCTGCCCCTTGGACGCCGCATTAATCAAAAACTTGGTCGCCGTCTCAAAGCTCATCTTTAGAATCGGCGACGGGTTCGCGTCAATCCCATTACGGTTACACGCGCGGTAACCGCCATCATACGTCATAAAATCCGCAATCAGACCCAAATGCCTCGGATCCACCGCGATCCCGTACATCCCGAACACGCCCCGAACCTCCTTCACGATCGTCGCGCGCGCCGCCTCCACGCCAAGCGTCGACAAAACCGCCGCGATGTGATTCGTTGAGAGCCGATTCAGATCGAGCACTCCCTCATCATCATGCTTCCCCATGGTTGATACTGCGAGGTTCCAGAGGCCGGGGAAGTTGAGCCCCTCGACTTGGATGCGCGGGGGCTGGCCGGGGGATACTGGTTCCAGAGCAGCACAGCGCTGCACTCCCGGTGTAGCTCGCACCACCACTGCTGCTGCTACCTTGTCAACAATCTGGCGAGAGAGAGAGGGTGATGGGGGGTTGCGGTTGGGAGAAAGCGAGAGGGATGGTGATTCAAATCGCGGGATGCAGCATAGCATGTTGGGGAATGAGGTTCCAGAGGCCAGGGAAGGGGAAGTTGAGCCCCTCGACTTGGATGCGGGGGGGCTGGCCGGGGGAGGCTGGATCCAGGGCAGCACAGCGCTGCCCTCCCGGTGTAGCTCGCACCACCACTGCTGCTGCTACCTTGTCAACAATCTGGCGAGAGAGAGAGGGTGATGGGGGGTTGCGGTTGGGAGAAAGCGAGAGGGATGGTGATTCAAATCGCGGGATGCAGCATAGCATGTTGGGGAATGAGGTTCCAGAGGCCAGGGAAGGGGAAGTTGAGCCCCTCGACTTGGATGCGGGGGGGCTGGCCGGGGGAGGCTGGATCCAGGGCAGCACAGCGCTGCCCTCCCGGGGTTGCCCGCACCACCACTGCCGCTGCCACCTTGTCTACAATCTGGGCGAACGAGAGTGTGAGGGGGTGGGGTTTCGGGAGAAAGAGGAACTGGTCATAATCACAGAACCTACTCATTGAAACCACACACTCACCAAACCACAAGCACAATATCACCTCGTTATCAGCACACTTTCACCTCGTTATAAGCATACTCTCTCTCACCTCATGGATGAGCACGGTGGTTGACGTCACCCCGGCACCGGCAGCTCCATCTGCGTCCACAGTTCTTGAGGCGCCTCAAATGCGCTTCCAAGGGCGCCTTAAAGGCGCTTTAAAGGGCACGGAAGGCTCCTCAAAATGTGCCGAAAACAAAACACAAACACAACTCAAACCAAACTCGAACAAAACTCACCTCATGGATGAGAACAGCGGGTGACGTCACCGGCACTGACAGCTCCATCTGCATCCACGTGTCGCCACCTGTCACCGTCGCCACCGCCACCTGCTTTTCCTTCCTCTTCTTCTTCTTTGTCTCCCCCTCTTTCTCCGCCCCTTTCTCCCCTTTCTTCTTCCCCTTCTTCGCCTTGCTATCCTTCTTCTTCCTCCCCTTCCCTCCTGCTGCTGCTGCTCCTGCTGATTCTGCAGCAGCTGCTTTACTTGCTCCCACCTCCTCTTCTACTTCCTCCTCCTCTTCCTCTTCCTCCTCTTCTTCCTCCTCTTCCTCCTCTTCCACCTTTACTTTACCAGCACTACCAGGCCCTCTCTTGGAAGAGCCCTTACCCTCCTCCTCTGCCTGCTCCACCCCCTCCTCTCCCTCTGCCGTTTCCTCTTCTTCCTCCTCTTCCTCCTCTTCCTCTTCCTCCTCTTCTTCCTCCTCTTCCTCCTCATATTCCTGTTCATCATCCCCCTGTCCGCGCTCCTTCTCAGCATCCTTCCCATCCTCCTCCCCTCCCTCCTCCTCTTCCTCCTCTTCCTCCGCTTCCCCATCAACCATCCCGCCCTTCTTCCCTCCCTTCTTCCCTCCTTTCCTCTTCCCCTCCACCTCCCCTTCCCCCTCCCCATCCTCCCCCTCTCCCTCACCCCCTTCTTTCTCCCCACGGCCCTCAGCCATCACCACCACACCCCCACCTCCAGCCCGATCCAAAGCCCTCTCCAGAGCTTTCCCGACCCTGGGAGCAAACTCGTAACTGAACGCGGCCTTGATTTCTTCGAACTTAAGGTCAAGATCTGCAGGGTAGCGGCTGGTGGGGTGGAACGCCAGGCGGATGAAGTAGCGCCTTGAGTTGCGATCTCCACCGTTGATCTGGACCAGATTCGTGCGCTCCGACACATGGATGGCTGAGATCAGCTCGGCCATCGTGATCCGACGGAGCTTGTTGGCTATGCGCTGGGCGTCCTCACTGGAGGGAGGGAGGTGGAAGGGGGTGGAAAAGGGTGGAAGGGGTTGGAATGGGGTGGAAGGAGGTGGAAGGAGGTGGAAGGAGGTGAAGGGCGGTGGAAGGGGGTGGAATGGGGTGGAATGGGGTGGAAGGCGGTGGAAGGGGGTGGAGGGGGGTGGATGGAAACAAGCTGATATTGCTAGACTCACACATAGACTCACAAGCGAAGGGACGAGTACTTTAGAAGTAGAAGAATTCATGGGTGTTAAACGACGGGCCTCACCACATGACCTACTGAACCACTCACAGGGTGCGGCCGGGGAGCAGGGGCCAGTCTACGACAGGCATGGCGTGGAGATGTTGTGAGGGGCATATATAGCTTCACAGGCGAACTGAGAGAGAATTCCGCAGCTAAGGACTCACAGCGTACGGCCGGGCAGCAGAGGGCAGTCCATGACAGGCGTGGAGATGTTGCGAGCGGCCGTCATGAGGATCTCACGCAACCGTGGAATGCCCAGAGTCACGTTCGCCTCTCCTCGCCCTGCAAAGTGGAACGTGTTCAGCCTGGGGTGGGGGGAGGGGGGTTGTGTGGAATGAGAAATATTTGACCCCACAAGAAATGATAGCAAGACAGAACCATGTGTGGCATGGCATGGCAACCATCTAGTTCCAAGAGTCTTATTCATTTCATCCCACAAGCAACATGTTGCAATGCGGAGTAGTCCAGTGCAGTGGTGCCTTGCCTATGTGGAAAATGCTCAGCCTAAGCACTCGCGCCAGCTAGCCACTCCCGTCATCTGTGTGGAGGGCTCCCCGACTGACTGAGCCGCCAGCACCCCCACAGTATACAGACTGACATATTGCCTTTCACTCATGCCAGCCCTGCACTCACGTCATCTGTGTGGAGGGCTCTCCGACTGACTGAGCCGCCAGCACCCCCACTGGCTCCCCTGGCTGCACAGTAGACGCCAGGTACTTCATCTCCAGCACCTCTCTCAACCGCTCTGCATCCTTCTTCTTCCCCTTCTTCCCGGTTCCCTTCGCGCCCTTCCCCAGAACCGCCGACTGCAGAAACTTCTCGGAAGCAGCTTCAAAGGCGGGAGAAACGACACCGAGCTTCGATCCTGGACACTCCACATCCATCACCTCTGCTGCCTCTGTTGCTGCTGCTGCTGCTGCTGCTGCTGGGTCTGCTGAATCAGCAGAAGCAGTGGCGCGGGGAGGCATTGTCTCGAGGCCGAGAGCCTTGGCTTCGTCCAAGCGGAGGGCTGATGCCACCTGTAGCTCATTCTGTTGATGGGTTTCAGTTCAGGATTTCCAAGTTTCCAGCGGTTTCACACAGGAGAGGGAGGAATGGAGAGGGGCGATGAGTGATTGAATGAGCATGGGTTTTACGTGTGTCTCTGGCTGCAAGACATGAGCTCAAACCAGTCCAGATCACAGCTCACAGCTCACACCATTCCTTTTAGCTCACAGCACAGCACGGCTCAACGCACCTCAACACACAACACATGCAGCACACCTCCTTGATAAACTCGAAGTTGGTGAGGAAGTAGGTCCTGCTGGTTTCAATGGCATCTTCTCCATATCGGAACTGCACGATGGACGCATCGCTGTCCTTCATCACAGCACAGCACAGCACAGCACAGCACAGCACGGCACAGCACAGCACAGCACAGCTCAACCCACCTCTTTAATGAACTCGAAGTTGGTGAGGAAGGACGTCCGGCTGGTGTCGATGGCATCCTCCCTGTATCGGAACTGCACAATGGACGCATCGCTGTCCCAATAGAGCCTCACTACCTGAACCCAGGGGAGAGCACACCACCATACCTCTTTGATGAACTCAAAGTTGGTGAGGAAGGACGTCCGGCTGGTGTCGATGGCATCCTCCCTGTATCGGAACTGCACAATGGACGCATCGCTGTCCCAATAGAGCCTCACTACCTGAACCCAGGGGAGAGCACACCACCATACCTCTTTGATGAACTCAAAGTTGGTGAGGAAGGACGTCCGGCTGGTGTCGATGGCATCCTCCCTGTATCGGAACTGCACAATGGACGCATCGCTGTCCCAATAGAGCCTCACTACCTGAACCCAGGGGAGAGCACACCACCATACCTCTTTGATGAACTCGAAGTTGGTGAGGAAGGACGTCCGGCTGGTGTCGATGGCATCCTCCCTGTATCGGAACTGCACAATGGACGCATCGCTGTCCCAATAGAGCCTCACTACCTGAACCCAGGGGAGAGCACACCACCATACCTCTTTGATGAACTCAAAGTTGGTGAGGAAGGACGTCCGGCTGGTGTCGATGGCATCCTCCCTGTATCGGAACTGCACAATGGACGCATCGCTGTCCCAATAGAGCCTCACTACCTGAACCCAGGGGAGAGCACACCACCATACCTCTTTGATGAACTCAAAGTTGGTGAGGAATGACGTCCGGCTGGTGTCGATGGCATCTTCTCCGTATCGGAACTGAACAATGGACGCATCGCTGTCCCGCACGCTGTAGTCATAGTGCACACGCAGCCCCTCGAGGTTCTTCACCAGGCACCGCTGCAGGTACCCACTGCGAGAGGTCTTGACTGTTGTGTCCACAAGCCTGCGGGCGGGGGTTATGGGATCAGTGGAGGGAAGACAGGAACGGGAGGCAGGGACAGGGCATCAAAAGCATGTCCTGCACGCTGTAGTCGTAGTGCACTCGCAGCCTCACCAGTGCAGGCAGGACGTTAGGAAAAGCGAGGGAGGAAGGAGTACAAGACAGGGACAATAATAACACTCACCCATCACTTCCACCAGACAGCACCAGATCCAGATGCTCTTGCTGCTCCTGCACCCTCTTTCCGGTGCGACTACGTGTGCCATAGTAAGGAGGTGACTTTTGAGTCGACTCAAAAGTCACCTTTTGAGGCGCCTAAAAAAAAGTCACCTAACTTCCGCCAGACAGCACCAGATGATACCCTCTTGCTGCTCCTGCACCCTCTTTCCAGTGCGACTACTCACCCACACACCCGTCATCCAGCCAGCACAAGCATCACGCACTCACCCGCCTCTGCCTGCCATGCAGTGGAAGTAGTACTCCTGGGGGCGCAGCTTGGAAAGAAGAGACCGATCTGCAATGACTGCACTATTAGACCACCCCACTCACAGCACTCACTCACTCATCCACACACCCATCATCCAGCACAAGCATCACGCACTCACCCGCCTCTGCCTGCCATGCAGTGGAAGTAGTATTCCTGGGGGCGCAGCCCAATAAGAAACCGATCAGCAATGAACCCGCCCGCTCTGGCCTCACTGCTCCACGCCTCAAAGCATGGCAGAGTCTTCCCAGACGCCATCCTTGGCACTCGCTTCCCCTCCAGCTCCTGCTGCCCCAGCTGGTGAAGCAGCTCTCATCTGCTCCTTCTCTCCTCACTTCCCTTTCTCACCTGCTCCTTCTCACCGCCCTTACCTTACTCACTAAATGAACCAGCAGCACTTGGGCACTCACCCGTCGCGTCCTGCCATGCAGTGAAAGTAATACTCCTGCGGGCGCAACCCAGTCAAAAACCGATCCGCAATGAACCCGCCCGCTCTGGCCTCGCTGCTCCACGCCTCAAAGCACGGCAGAGTCTTCCCCGACGCCATCCTTGGCACTCGCTTCCCCTCCAGCTCCTGCTGCCCCAGCAGCACCGCAATCTGGTTGAAATTCACGCCGCTGCCCTTGGCGCCCGTGACCGTCATCAGCGACATGCAATTGGCCGGGAAAGGTTTCAGCTGCCCGTCGGGCAGTGCGGCGGAGGTTGCAGCGGTGGTGACCTTGCTGAGGGCGGAGGTCATCCGGTTGTCGAGCGCTGCTGTTGCCGCGTCTTTCCGCGTGCGCAGCTGCAGGGCCACGTGCTGCCTCACCCACTCCTTGTTCGCAGCTGCAAAAACAGCCAAGGGGGAAGGAAGGTGGGGAGGAAAGGGGAAGGTGGCGGAAAAGGACAAAGGGGAACGGGGAAGAAAAAAGGGAGGGAACGAGAAACGGGGAGGGAACGGGCACAGGGGAAGGAAGGGGAGCGGGGGTGAGTGAGAGAGGGCGGATGTTGCGGCGGTGGTGAACCCCACCCCACAACTGAGCGTGCACAGCACAGGTTCCCTGGTAGGTTCCCTGGTAGGTTCCCTGGTAGGTCCCCTAGGTCCCCTGAGTTACCCTTGAGAATTCTCAAAAGTGACTCCCACTATGACTCGCCTCAGAACTTGACTCACTCTCGGCCTTCTTCCCGGTGAGCCCCACGAACTGCGCATACACAGGGTCGCCAATGCTGTCCGCACGCGATATGATTGCTGCCCGCTCCGCCTCTGCAGGGGCTGTCAGCAGCAAATCGCCCACCCCACAGGTGAACCCGCGGATCTGGGAAGAGAGGGTAGGAGGGGGAACAGTAGGGGGAACAGTAGGGGGAACAGTAGGGGGGACGGTGAGGGGACGGTGGGGAAACGGGGTGCGGGGTTGGGAGCCGTGGGTGGGACACGTGTCAGCAGCAGATCGCCCACCCACCCCTCAGGTGAACCCCCGGATGTGAGGCGAGGCGAAGTGAAGAGGGTGGGGGGGAGAAGGTTTGGGAAGGGTGGTTTGAGGGCCACGAGTAGTGACATGTGCAAACAGAGAATCGCTAGTTGAGGATTCAGAAACGCTTACGAAGCAGTTGAAAGGGGGAAATAGCCTGCAGGAACCACTGGCACACCCCCCCCCTCCCCCCCCCCCCCCCCCCCCCCCCCCAAAACAAACAAACAAACAAACAAACAAATCTACCTGGAGGAAGGTGGTGAGGAGGCGGCTGAGGGAGGAGAGCAGCTTGCCGGCAGCAGGGCAGCCGTAGAGCTCCTGGAAGCAGTGCACGAGGCCATAGCGGGCGAACTGCGCCTTGTCAAACACCCCCGTTACCACCTCGCCGCCCCGCACCTGGTGGGATGGGGAGGAGGGAAGAAGGGGTGTGGGATAGAGCTGGGGTGTGGTGGTAGCAGCAGGACAGCACAATCAACGGCGTGCCTGGTGGTGCATGCAGTGCAGCTATAGAACCATGTGATGTGAGGTGATGCGTGATGCATTGTGTGTGGTGGTGGAAGTGTGCGCTGCACAGCACGCACCGTGCAAAAACGCCCGCACTTGTGCGTCCTTGTGCGGCGCCGCACCGCACCCTTTAAATGTGATGCGCTCAAAGTGGTGACGCTCAATCAACCACCGTGTCGCATCTCTTGAGGCGCCTCAAAAGTCGCACCCTTTGAATGTAATGCGCTCAAAGTGGTGACGCTCAAAGTATCGCTCAAAGTATCACTCAATCAACCACAGCGTCGCATCTCACCCGCAGTGTCGCGTCCTCCTGCCGCCCCTTCCCCCAATAGCGCGCCGACACCTTGCACGCCACCTCCATTGTCATTGGTTGCTGCCCCTCCGTCAGCAGTTGCAGCAGCGCTGTGATGACCTGAGGGGAGAAAGGAGATGGGAGAATGGGAAGAGAGGAGATGAGAGGCAAAATGAAGATCTCACGTACCTGTCCACTCATGAGGAGATGAAGGCCTTTCCCATCCACCCTCACTGCTGCCCCTCCGCCAGCAGTTGATTTTTGAGTCAACTAAAAAATCGACTTTCCCATCCATCCTCACTGCTGCCCCTCTGTCAGCAGCTGCAGCAGCGCCGTGATCACCTGTGGGTAGTGGAGGAGGAGCGGGGGCAGGAGCAGAGGACAGGAGCAAAGATAGAGGAGAAAGGTGATTACGGCGCAGGATATGAGTGCGGAGGAGAAGAGTCTATATTGGAGGCGCTCCTAGCCTCAAAAGCAGAGACTAGCAGCGAAGACAGCGGAGGAAGGTGATCACGGAGCAGGATATGAGTGCGGTGGAGAAGAGGAGAAGATAGCGGAGAAGAGGAGAAGATAGTGGAGAAGAGGAGAAGATAGCGGAGAAGAGGAGAAGATAGTGGAGAAGAGGAGAAGATAGTGGAGAAGAGGAGAAGATAGCGGAGAAGAGGAGAAGATAGCGGAGAAGAGGAGAAGATAGCGGAGAAGAGGAGAAGATAGCGGAGAAGAGGAGAAGATAGTGGAGAAGAGGAGAAGATAGCGGAGAAGAGGAGAAGATAGCGGAGAAGAGGAGAAGATAGCGGAGAAGAGGAGAAGATAGTGGAGAAGAGGAGAAGATAGTGGAGAAGAGGAGAAGATAGCGGAGAAGAGGAGAAGATAGCGGAGAAGAGGAGAAGATAGTGGAGAAGAGGAGAAGATAGCGGAGAAGAGGAGAAGATAGCGGAGAAGAGGAGAAGATAGCGGAGAAGAGGAGAAGATAGCGGAGAAGAGGAGAAGATAGCGGAGAAGAGGAGAAGATAGCGGAGAAGAGGAGAAGATAGCGGAGAAGAGGAGAAGATAGTGGAGAAGAGGAGAAGATAGCGGAGAAGAGGAGAAGATAGCGGAGAAGAGGAGAAGATAGCGGAGAAGAGGAGAAGATAGTGGAGAAGAGGAGAAGATAGTGGAGAAGAGGAGAAGATAGTGGAGAAGAGGAGAAGATAGCGGAGAAGAGGAGAAGATAGCGGAGAAGAGGAGAAGATAGTGGAGAAGAGGAGAAGATAGCGGAGAAGAGGAGAAGATAGCGGAGAAGAGGAGAAGATAGCGGAGAAGAGGAGAAGATAGTGGAGAAGAGGAGAAGATAGCGGAGAAGAGGAGAAGATAGCGGAGAAGAGGAGAAGATAGCGGAGAAGAGGAGAAGATAGCGGAGAAGAGGAGAAGATAGTGGAGAAGAGGAGAAGATAGCGGAGAAGAGGAGAAGATAGTGGAGAAGAGGAGAAGATAGCGGAGAAGAGGAGAAGATAGCGGAGAAGAGGAGAAGATAGCGGAGAAGAGGAGAAGATAGTGGAGAAGAGGAGAAGATAGCGGAGAAGAGGAGAAGATAGTGGAGAAGAGGAGAAGATAGCGGAGAAGAGGAGAAGATAGTGGAGAAGAGGAGAAGATAGCGGAGAAGAGGAGAAGATAGCGGAGAAGAGGAGAAGATAGCGGAGAAGAGGAGAAGATAGCGGAGAAGAGGAGAAGATAGTGGAGAAGAGGAGAAGATAGCGGAGAAGAGGAGAAGATAGCGGAGAAGAGGAGAAGATAGCGGAGAAGAGGAGAAGATAGCGGAGAAGAGGAGAAGATAGTGGAGAAGAGGAGAAGATAGCGGAGAAGAGGAGAAGATAGCGGAGAAGAGGAGAAGATAGCGGAGAAGAGGAGAAGATAGCGGAGAAGAGGAGAAGATAGTGGAGAAGAGGAGAAGATAGCGGAGAAGAGGAGAAGATAGCGGAGAAGAGGAGAAGATAGCGGAGAAGAGGAGAAGATAGTGGAGAAGAGGAGAAGATAGTGGAGAAGAGGAGAAGATAGCGGAGAAGAGGAGAAGATAGCGGAGAAGAGGAGAAGATAGTGGAGAAGAGGAGAAGATAGCGGAGAAGAGGAGAAGATAGCGGAGAAGAGGAGAAGATAGCGGAGAAGAGGAGAAGATAGTGGAGAAGAGGAGAAGATAGCGGAGAAGAGGAGAAGATAGCGGAGAAGAGGAGAAGATAGCGGAGAAGAGGAGAAGATAGCGGAGAAGAGGAGAAGATAGTGGAGAAGAGGAGAAGATAGCGGAGAAGAGGAGAAGATAGTGGAGAAGAGGAGAAGATAGCGGAGAAGAGGAGAAGATAGCGGAGAAGAGGAGAAGATAGCGGAGAAGAGGAGAAGATAGTGGAGAAGAGGAGAAGATAGCGGAGAAGAGGAGAAGATAGCGGAGAAGAGGAGAAGATAGCGGAGAAGAGGAGAAGATAGTGGAGAAGAGGAGAAGATAGTGGAGAAGAGGAGAAGATAGCGGAGAAGAGGAGAAGATAGCGGAGAAGAGGAGAAGATAGTGGAGAAGAGGAGAAGATAGCGGAGAAGAGGAGAAGATAGCGGAGAAGAGGAGAAGATAGCGGAGAAGAGGAGAAGATAGCGGAGAAGAGGAGAAGATAGTGGAGAAGAGGAGAAGATAGCGGAGAAGAGGAGAAGATAGCGGAGAAGAGGAGAAGATAGCGGAGAAGAGGAGAAGATAGCGGAGAAGAGGAGAAGATAGTGGAGAAGAGGAGAAGATAGCGGAGAAGAGGAGAAGATAGCGGAGAAGAGGAGAAGATAGCGGAGAAGAGGAGAAGATAGCGGAGAAGAGGAGAAGATAGTGGAGAAGAGGAGAAGATAGCGGAGAAGAGGAGAAGATAGCGGAGAAGAGGAGAAGATAGCGGAGAAGAGGAGAAGATAGCGGAGAAGAGGAGAAGATAGTGGAGAAGAGGAGAAGATAGCGGAGAAGAGGAGAAGATAGTGGAGAAGAGGAGAAGATAGCGGAGAAGAGGAGAAGATAGTGGAGAAGAGGAGAAGATAGCGGAGAAGAGGAGAAGATAGCGGAGAAGAGGAGAAGATAGCGGAGAAGAGGAGAAGATAGCGGAGAAGAGGAGAAGATAGTGGAGAAGAGGAGAAGATAGCGGAGAAGAGGAGAAGATAGCGGAGAAGAGGAGAAGATAGCGGAGAAGAGGAGAAGATAGCGGAGAAGAGGAGAAGATAGTGGAGAAGAGGAGAAGATAGCGGAGAAGAGGAGAAGATAGCGGAGAAGAGGAGAAGATAGCGGAGAAGAGGAGAAGATAGCGGAGAAGAGGAGAAGATAGTGGAGAAGAGGAGAAGATAGCGGAGAAGAGGAGAAGATAGCGGAGAAGAGGAGAAGATAGCGGAGAAGAGGAGAAGATAGTGGAGAAGAGGAGAAGATAGTGGAGAAGAGGAGAAGATAGCGGAGAAGAGGAGAAGATAGCGGAGAAGAGGAGAAGATAGTGGAGAAGAGGAGAAGATAGCGGAGAAGAGGAGAAGATAGCGGAGAAGAGGAGAAGATAGCGGAGAAGAGGAGAAGATAGTGGAGAAGAGGAGAAGATAGCGGAGAAGAGGAGAAGATAGCGGAGAAGAGGAGAAGATAGCGGAGAAGAGGAGAAGATAGCGGAGAAGAGGAGAAGATAGTGGAGAAGAGGAGAAGATAGCGGAGAAGAGGAGAAGATAGTGGAGAAGAGGAGAAGATAGCGGAGAAGAGGAGAAGATAGCGGAGAAGAGGAGAAGATAGCGGAGAAGAGGAGAAGATAGTGGAGAAGAGGAGAAGATAGCGGAGAAGAGGAGAAGATAGCGGAGAAGAGGAGAAGATAGCGGAGAAGAGGAGAAGATAGTGGAGAAGAGGAGAAGATAGTGGAGAAGAGGAGAAGATAGCGGAGAAGAGGAGAAGATAGCGGAGAAGAGGAGAAGATAGTGGAGAAGAGGAGAAGATAGCGGAGAAGAGGAGAAGATAGCGGAGAAGAGGAGAAGATAGCGGAGAAGAGGAGAAGATAGCGGAGAAGAGGAGAAGATAGTGGAGAAGAGGAGAAGATAGCGGAGAAGAGGAGAAGATAGCGGAGAAGAGGAGAAGATAGCGGAGAAGAGGAGAAGATAGCGGAGAAGAGGAGAAGATAGCGGAGAAGAGGAGAAGATAGTGGAGAAGAGGAGAAGATAGCGGAGAAGAGGAGAAGATAGCGGAGAAGAGGAGAAGATAGCGGAGAAGAGGAGAAGATAGCGGAGAAGAGGAGAAGATAGTGGAGAAGAGGAGAAGATAGCGGAGAAGAGGAGAAGATAGCGGAGAAGAGGAGAAGATAGCGGAGAAGAGGAGAAGATAGTGGAGAAGAGGAGAAGATAGCGGAGAAGAGGAGAAGATAGCGGAGAAGAGGAGAAGATAGCGGAGAAGAGGAGAAGATAGCGGAGAAGAGGAGAAGATAGTGGAGAAGAGGAGAAGATAGCGGAGAAGAGGAGAAGATAGTGGAGAAGAGGAGAAGATAGCGGAGAAGAGGAGAAGATAGCGGAGAAGAGGAGAAGATAGCGGAGAAGAGGAGAAGATAGTGGAGAAGAGGAGAAGATAGCGGAGAAGAGGAGAAGATAGCGGAGAAGAGGAGAAGATAGCGGAGAAGAGGAGAAGATAGTGGAGAAGAGGAGAAGATAGTGGAGAAGAGGAGAAGATAGCGGAGAAGAGGAGAAGATAGCGGAGAAGAGGAGAAGATAGTGGAGAAGAGGAGAAGATAGCGGAGAAGAGGAGAAGATAGCGGAGAAGAGGAGAAGATAGCGGAGAAGAGGAGAAGATAGTGGAGAAGAGGAGAAGATAGCGGAGAAGAGGAGAAGATAGCGGAGAAGAGGAGAAGATAGCGGAGAAGAGGAGAAGATAGCGGAGAAGAGGAGAAGATAGTGGAGAAGAGGAGAAGATAGCGGAGAAGAGGAGAAGATAGTGGAGAAGAGGAGAAGATAGTGGAGAAGAGGAGAAGATAGCGGAGAAGAGGAGAAGATAGCGGAGAAGAGGAGAAGATAGCGGAGAAGAGGAGAAGATAGTGGAGAAGAGGAGAAGATAGCGGAGAAGAGGAGAAGATAGCGGAGAAGAGGAGAAGATAGCGGAGAAGAGGAGAAGATAGTGGAGAAGAGGAGAAGATAGTGGAGAAGAGGAGAAGATAGCGGAGAAGAGGAGAAGATAGCGGAGAAGAGGAGAAGATAGTGGAGAAGAGGAGAAGATAGCGGAGAAGAGGAGAAGATAGCGGAGAAGAGGAGAAGATAGCGGAGAAGAGGAGAAGATAGTGGAGAAGAGGAGAAGATAGCGGAGAAGAGGAGAAGATAGCGGAGAAGAGGAGAAGATAGCGGAGAAGAGGAGAAGATAGCGGAGAAGAGGAGAAGATAGTGGAGAAGAGGAGAAGATAGCGGAGAAGAGGAGAAGATAGCGGAGAAGAGGAGAAGATAGCGGAGAAGAGGAGAAGATAGTGGAGAAGAGGAGAAGATAGTGGAGAAGAGGAGAAGATAGCGGAGAAGAGGAGAAGATAGCGGAGAAGAGGAGAAGATAGTGGAGAAGAGGAGAAGATAGCGGAGAAGAGGAGAAGATAGCGGAGAAGAGGAGAAGATAGCGGAGAAGAGGAGAAGATAGCGGAGAAGAGGAGAAGATAGTGGAGAAGAGGAGAAGATAGCGGAGAAGAGGAGAAGATAGCGGAGAAGAGGAGAAGATAGCGGAGAAGAGGAGAAGATAGTGGAGAAGAGGAGAAGATAGTGGAGAAGAGGAGAAGATAGCGGAGAAGAGGAGAAGATAGCGGAGAAGAGGAGAAGATAGTGGAGAAGAGGAGAAGATAGCGGAGAAGAGGAGAAGATAGCGGAGAAGAGGAGAAGATAGCGGAGAAGAGGAGAAGATAGTGGAGAAGAGGAGAAGATAGCGGAGAAGAGGAGAAGATAGCGGAGAAGAGGAGAAGATAGCGGAGAAGAGGAGAAGATAGCGGAGAAGAGGAGAAGATAGTGGAGAAGAGGAGAAGATAGCGGAGAAGAGGAGAAGATAGTGGAGAAGAGGAGAAGATAGCGGAGAAGAGGAGAAGATAGCGGAGAAGAGGAGAAGATAGCGGAGAAGAGGAGAAGATAGTGGAGAAGAGGAGAAGATAGCGGAGAAGAGGAGAAGATAGCGGAGAAGAGGAGAAGATAGCGGAGAAGAGGAGAAGATAGTGGAGAAGAGGAGAAGATAGTGGAGAAGAGGAGAAGATAGCGGAGAAGAGGAGAAGATAGCGGAGAAGAGGAGAAGATAGTGGAGAAGAGGAGAAGATAGCGGAGAAGAGGAGAAGATAGCGGAGAAGAGGAGAAGATAGCGGAGAAGAGGAGAAGATAGTGGAGAAGAGGAGAAGATAGCGGAGAAGAGGAGAAGATAGCGGAGAAGAGGAGAAGATAGCGGAGAAGAGGAGAAGATAGTGGAGAAGAGGAGAAGATAGCGGAGAAGAGGAGAAGATAGCGGAGAAGAGGAGAAGATAGCGGAGAAGAGGAGAAGATAGTGGAGAAGAGGAGAAGATAGTGGAGAAGAGGAGAAGATAGCGGAGAAGAGGAGAAGATAGCGGAGAAGAGGAGAAGATAGTGGAGAAGAGGAGAAGATAGCGGAGAAGAGGAGAAGATAGCGGAGAAGAGGAGAAGATAGCGGAGAAGAGGAGAAGATAGTGGAGAAGAGGAGAAGATAGCGGAGAAGAGGAGAAGATAGCGGAGAAGAGGAGAAGATAGCGGAGAAGAGGAGAAGATAGCGGAGAAGAGGAGAAGATAGCGGAGAAGAGGAGAAGATAGTGGAGAAGAGGAGAAGATAGCGGAGAAGAGGAGAAGATAGCGGAGAAGAGGAGAAGATAGTGGAGAAGAGGAGAAGATAGCGGAGAAGAGGAGAAGATAGTGGAGAAGAGGAGAAGATAGTGGAGAAGAGGAGAAGATAGCGGAGAAGAGGAGAAGATAGTGGAGAAGAGGAGAAGATAGTGGAGAAGAGGAGAAGATAGCGGAGAAGAGGAGAAGATAGCGGAGAAGAGGAGAAGATAGCGGAGAAGAGGAGAAGATAGCGGAGAAGAGGAGAAGATAGCGGTGAAGAGGAGAAGAGGAGAAGATAGCGGAGAGAAAACTGATCATGGTGCTGCTATGAAAGATAAACACCTTCAGCAGTTGCTGCCCCTGCACCTTCTCTTCCCACCCTCTGCTGCTCCCCATCCTTGCCTGCTCTCGCTCCCCACTCGCAACTCTTCCCCACTCTCAATTGCTCTCCCCACGCTCACCTGCTTGCCAGTCCACAGCGGTTGTGGCTTCACCACAGCAGGGGGGGGCATGTTGATGGCAGCACCGGCATCAGGGAGAGCGCGAAACCTCCTTCCTGCATTCTCACTCACCTGATCTATCTCCACTCTCACCTGATCTATCTCCACTCTCACCTGATCTATCTCCACTCTCACCTGATCTATCTCCGATCTCACCTGATCTATCTCCAATCTCACCTGATCTATCTCCAATCTCACCGGATCTATCTCCTCCCTCACCTGCTTGCCAGTCCACAGCGGTTGCGGCTTCACCACAGCAGGGGGGGGCATCTTGATGGCAGCACCGGCATCAGGGAGAGCGCGAAACCTCCTTCCTGCATTCTCACTCACCTGATCTATCTCCACTCTCACCTGATCTATCTCCACTCTCACCTGATCTATCTCCACTCTCACCTGATCTATCTCCGATCTCACCTGATCTATCTCCAATCTCACCTGATCTATCTCCAATCTCACCGGATCTATCTCCTCCCTCACCTGCTTGCCAGTCCACAGCGGTTGCGGCTTCACCACAGCAGGGGGGGGCATCTTGATGGCAGCACCGGCATCAGGGAGAGCGCGAAACCTCCTTCCTGCATTCTCACTCACCTGATCTATCTCCACTCTCACCTGATCTATCTCCACTCTCACCTGATCTATCTCCACTCTCACCTGATCTATCTCCGATCTCACCTGATCTATCTCCAATCTCACCTGATCTATCTCCAATCTCACCGGATCTATCTCCTCCCTCACCTGCTTGCCAGTCCACAGCGGTTGCGGCTTCACCACAGCAGGGGGGGGCATCTTGATGGCAGCACCGGCATCAGGGAGAGCGCGAAACCTCCTTCCTGCATTCTCACTCACCTGATCTATCTCCACTCTCACCTGATCTATCTCCACTCTCACCTGATCTATCTCCACTCTCACCTGATCTATCTCCGATCTCACCTGATCTATCTCCAATCTCACCTGATCTATCTCCAATCTCACCGGATCTATCTCCTCCCTCACCTGCTTGCCAGTCCACAGCGGTTGTGGCTTCACCACAGCAGGGGGGGGCATGTTGATGGCAGCACCGGCATCAGGGAGAGCGCGAAACCTCCTTCCTGCATTCTCACTCACCTGATCTATCTCCACTCTCACCTGATCTATCTCCACTCTCACCTGATCTATCTCCACTCTCACCTGATCTATCTCCGATCTCACCTGATCTATCTCCAATCTCACCTGATCTATCTCCAATCTCACCGGATCTATCTCCTCCCTCACCTGCTTGCCAGTCCACAGCGGTTGCGGCTTCACCACAGCAGGGGGGGGCATCTTGATGGCAGCACCGGCATCAGGGAGAGCGCGAAACCTCCTTCCTGCATTCTCACTCACCTGATCTATCTCCACTCTCACCTGATCTATCTCCACTCTCACCTGATCTATCTCCACTCTCACCTGATCTATCTCCGATCTCACCTGATCTATCTCCAATCTCACCTGATCTATCTCCAATCTCACCGGATCTATCTCCTCCCTCACCTGCTTGCCAGTCCACAGCGGTTGCGGCTTCACCACAGCAGGGGGGGGCATCTTGATGGCAGCACCGGCATCAGGGAGAGCGCGAAACCTCCTTCCTGCATTCTCACTCACCTGATCTATCTCCACTCTCACCTGATCTATCTCCACTCTCACCTGATCTATCTCCACTCTCACCTGATCTATCTCCGATCTCACCTGATCTATCTCCAATCTCACCTGATCTATCTCCAATCTCACCGGATCTATCTCCTCCCTCACCTGCTTGCCAGTCCACAGCGGTTGCGGCTTCACCACAGCAGGGGGGGGCATCTTGATGGCAGCACCGGCATCAGGGAGAGCGCGAAACCTCCTTCCTGCATTCTCACTCACCTGATCTATCTCCACTCTCACCTGATCTATCTCCACTCTCACCTGATCTATCTCCACTCTCACCTGATCTATCTCCGATCTCACCTGATCTATCTCCAATCTCACCTGATCTATCTCCAATCTCACCGGATCTATCTCCTCCCTCACCTGCTTGCCAGTCCACAGCGGTTGCGGCTTCACCACAGCAGGGGGGGGCATCTTGATGGCAGCACCGGCATCAGGGAGAGCACGAAACCTCCTTCCTGCATTCTCACTCACCTGATCTATCTCCACTCTCACCTGATCTATCTCCACTCTCACCTGATCTATCTCCACTTTCACCTGATCTATCTCCAATCTCACCGGATCTATCTCCTCCCTCACCTGCTTGCCAGTCCACAGCGGGTGCGGCTTCACCACAGCAGGGGGCGGCATGGTGATGCCAGCAGCACCAGTACATTGTTCCTTTGCCCTCCCCTCCTCCTCGCCCTCACCTGCTCCATCCCCACGCTCACCAGCTCTCCCCTCCCTCACCAGCTCTCCCCTCCCTCACCAGCTCTCCCCTCCCTCACCAGCTCTCCCCTCCCTCACCAGCTCTCCCCTCCCTCACCAGCACTCCCCTCCCTCACCAGCTCTCCCCTCCCTCACCAGCTCTCCCCTCCCTCACCAGCTCTCCCCTCCCTCACCAGCTCTCCCCTCCCTCACCAGCTCTCCCCTCCCTCACCAGCTCTCCCCTCCCTCACCAGCTCTCCCCTCCCTCACCAGCTCTCCCCTCCCTCACCAGCTCTCCCCTCCCTCACCAGCTCTCCCCTCCCTCACCAGCTCTCCCCTCCCTCACCAGCTCTCCCCTCCCTCACCAGCTCTTCCCTCCCTCACCAGCTCTCCCCTCCCTCACCAGCTCTCCCCTCCCTCACCAGCACTCCCCTCCCTCACCAGCTCTCCCCTCCCTCACCAGCTCTCCCCTCCCTCACCAGCTCTCCCCTCCCTCACCAGCTCTCCCCTCCCTCACCAGCTCTCCCCTCCCTCACCAGCTCTCCCCTCCCTCACCAGCTCTTCCCTCCCTCACCAGCTCTCCCCTCCCTCACCAGCTCTCCCCTCCCTCACCAGCTCTCCCCTCCCTCACCAGCTCTCCCCTCCCTCACCAGCTCTTCCCTCCCTCACCAGCTCTCCCCTCCCTCACCTGCTCTCCCCTCCCTCACCAGCTCTCCCTTCCCTCACCAGCTCTCCCCTCCCTCACCAGCTCTTCCCTCCCTCACCAGCTCTCCCCTCCCTCACCAGCTCTCCCCTCCCTCACCAGCTCTCCCCTCCCTCACCAGCTCTCCCCTCCCTCACCAGCTCTCCCCTCCCTCACCAGCTCTCCCCTCCCTCACCAGCTCTTCCCTCCCTCACCAGCTCTCCCCTCCCTCACCAGCTCTCCCCACGCTCACCAGCTCTCCCCACGCTCACCAGCTCTCCCCACGCTCACCTGCTTGCCAGTCCACAGCGGCTGCGGCTTCACGACAGCAGGGGGCGGCATGGTGATGGCAGCACCGGCATCAGGGAGAGCGCGGATTCTGGGCGCTGCTTTTGTGCCTGCTGCTGCTGCTGCTGCTGCTGCTGCCATGCCCACTGCTGCCTGCTCCAGTGCTGATGCGGCTGCTGGTGGGACAGTGGCGGTAGCAGAAGCAGGGGGGACGGCGGTTGTGGTGGTGGTGGCAGTGGTGGTGGCGTCAGCAGGAGGTGCACTGACAGCCGGAGCACCAGGAGCAGCAGCGGCGGGAACAGCAGCAGCAGCACCATCAGCAGCAGCTGTTGCACCGGCAGCACCAGCGACAGCAGGAGCGGCAGCGGCGGGTTTGGCAGGGGGGGATTGGAACGGGGTGTCTGGGGGTGGGATGCAGGCGGAGAAGAGCAGGTGCTGGAACTCTGTGAGCGTGAGCAGGGTTCCAGGTGATGTGAGGAGAGTTGCTGCTATGATGTGGTCCTGGTGGGGTAAGGTGTGGGAGAGAGTAAGTCAGGAGAGGGAAGAAGGGGAAAGAAATGTGAATGGGCAGGCGTGGGCAGGCGGAGAAGAGCAGGTGCTGGAACTCTGTGCGCGTGAGCAGCGTGCCGGGCGAGGTTAGAAGCGTGGCAGCTACGATGTGGTCCTGGTTGTGGGGTGGAAGAAGGAGATAGGCAGGAAGGAAAAGGGAGAGACATGTGAGCGGCCACGCGGAGACGAGCAGGTGCTGGAACTCGGTGCGCATGAGCAGCGTTCCTGGTGATGTGAGGAGAGTTGCTGCTATGATGTGGTCCTGGTGGGGTAAGGTGTGGGAGAGAGTAAGTCAGGAGAGGGAAGAAGGGGAAAGAAATGTGAATGGGCAGGCGTGGGCAGGCGGAGAAGAGCAGGTGCTGGAACTCGGTGCGCATGAGGAGCGTTCCTGGTGATGTGAGTAGGGTGGCTGCTATGATATGATCCTGGTAGGGTGGGGGGAGGAGAGTAGACAGCAAGGAACCAGGACAGGCATGTGAGTGGGCAGGCGGAGAAGAGCAGGTGCTGGAACTCGGTGCGCATGAGCAGCGTTCCTGGTGATGCGAGCAGTTTTGCCGCAATGATGTGATCCTGATGAGGGGCATAGGAGAAGGGGGAGTAGGCAGGAAGGGAAGGGGAGAGACATGTGACTGAGTGGCCAGGTGGAGAAGAGAATGTGCTGGAACACGGTGCATGTGATCAATGTGCCGGGCGAGGTGAGTAGCGTGGCTGCTATGATGTGGACCTGATGGGGGGCGAGGGGGGGAAAGAGAGGGGGGAGAGAGAGGAAAGAAGGAAAGTGTATGGGCAGGGGGAGAGTATGAAGCTGTGAGTTGACAGAAAACACAGATATAGCCTTCCCCAGCCGAACCCTCACCTGAATGAACCCTCTAGCATGCAGCCCATCGGTGAGCAATATGTACTGTAAGTCAGCATCTACTATCAAGTACGATACAGCTGAGGGGCTTTGCTGACATGACAACACAGTGACACACACACCCCTCAAGCCACACAGATAGAACCGCCCCTAGCTGCACCCTCACCTGAATGAGCCCTCTAGCAGGCAGCCCGTTGGTGGGCAGTATGTACTGTAAGTCAGCGTCTACTATCGAGTACGCTTCTGCTCTCCCCAGGGCGTCCTGAGGCAGATGCACATTCATCTCATCCCCGTCAAAGTCCGCATTGTACACACTGCGGTGACGAGGGGTGGCAAGGGGTGAAGGGGGGCAACAGGGGGTGAATGGGGGCGAAGAGTGGTCAAGGAGGGGGACGGGGAGTGGAGAGAGAGGGGTATGTTCCACAAGCTTTGCACATGCACTGTGATTGACAGCACATACGCACACGCTCTGTGAGAGGGATCGAAGGCGTCAGGTGAAAAACTCACTTGCAGTTGGCATAGTGCAGGCGGAGGGTCTTCTCCCCCTTGAGGAGTCTATTCTGAGTGGTGGGTCAGTCAGGCATCGCGTTATCCCTCCCACCCACCCACACTTGAGGGATCTATTTTGAGGCGCCTCAGGAATGGACTCACTTGCAGTTGGCATAGTGCAGGCGGAGGGTCTTCTCCCCCTTGAGGATCTTCACTCGGTGCGCCATGATGCCAGGACGATGCAGCGTGGGCTGCGAGGGAGAGGGTAGTAGAGGCGAGAGAAATAAGGGAGAAGAGGGGGGTAAGCATGAGTTAGAGGGACTTTTCCCCCTTGAGGATCTTCACTCGATGCGCCATGATGCCAGGGCGAGGCGATGCAGCGTGGGCTGTAGGTAGAGAGGAGAAAGATCAGGCTGGAGACGAAGGGGGTTATAAACGAAGCAGCGCAGGTGGGTCGCGATGAATGGCACTGAGGCGATTTTTGAGTCTACTCAAAACACGGGAGACGAAGGGGGTTAAGAATAAAGCAGCGTGGGTGGGATGCGATGCCTGGCGCTGAGGCGTTCAAAAGGCTTTAGGGCGTGTCCCACTTCGGGTCAAGAGTACTGTTCATGTCATCCGAGATTCTTGGACGACAAATGGTATTCCAGTAGTGTAGCTGAAATGCGCCCTATTGGTCGTCCAAGAATCTCGGATGACATGAACAGTACTCTCGACCCGAACTGGGACACGCCCTTAGCATCCCTCATTTGCAGAAAACAGTACCTTTCGGCTGTACCCCAAAGGCAAATCAAATCCATCTCACCTGTAGGTTCACCGACACCACATCTCCATCCCTCATGTGCCGATAAACTGACACCATCGCATGTTTATGTTTGAGTCACATGCATCTTCACCTTGCTGCAACGCAACACAACTCAACTATCTCACCTGTCGGTTCACCAGCACCACATCTCCGTCCTGCATGTGTCGATACATGGCATGGCAACTATTAGGTTTGACCCGAAATAGAATTGCTCTCCCTCACCTGTCTGTTAACCAGAACCACATCACCATCCCTCATATGCCGAAACACACATTTCACCATCGCGCGCCGCACATGCATCCCCTTCCCCTCCGCCGCCGCTCCCTCCCCTCCCCCCTTCTTCCCCTCCCCGTCCTTCACGTGGACACCTGTCGCACGCTGATTGGCCGCGAGCGCAGCGGCAGAGGGCGTGGAGAGCAGCGTGCGGGCAAGGGCTCTCCGGCGGTCGGGGTTGAGGTGGGCGAGGGAGACGAGCTGCCCCCTCTCGTCCTCCACGTGTGTGGCTCCGGGGAGAACGTCCGCCCCGTTCTCCACCAGCCTTGCTAAATATTCCACGTTCCAATCCGTCACGGTCTGGAGATGGGCCAGGGGGGTGGGGCAGGGGAGGGGGAAGGGGAGGGGGAGGGCAGGAAGGAGAGGAGACAGTGGAAAGGAGAGGGGGCATTGAGGTTATGGGGAGGAGAGCAGCAGCAGAGGGGGTGGAGAGGAGCGTGCGGGCGAGGGATCTCCTGCGGTCGGGGTTGAAGTGGGCGAGGGAGACGACGAGCTGCCCCCTCTCGTCCTCCACGTGTGTGGCTCCGGGTAACACATCCGCCCCGTTCTCCACGAGTCTCGCTAAACATTCCACGTTCCGATCTGTCACCGTCTGATTTTGAAAGGAGGGAAGGTGGGGTTGGGGAGGATGAAAGGTCAGGGAAAGGGGTTGGAACAGTAAGGAAGCAGAATGGGGGAACATGGGATAGTGGGGGAAAGGGAAGGGAGGAAGGGAGGGGTGCATCTGCTTACCTCAGCGTAGGGCACACATGCTTACATACATGATACATCAGCATACCTCTGTTTCACTACCTTCAAAAGCTAAGGTAACATTTTCTTACATGAATATGTGACATCTGCTCACTCTCACCAGCTTCTGCTTACCTCCGCATATGTGAGTCGCTTGGCGAAAACGGGCGGCACTCCGATCTCGTTCACCTGATTTGATTTGATTCGGGCAAAGAGTGCAGGGGCCGGGTTACAAATTAGTGTGGGGGACTGGAAGCAAAGCAGTGTGGGGGGCGGATTGCTGTGCAGTGCAGCATCATGTTATTCAGTAGAGAGAAAGGGAAGGCGGGGAGAGGGGAGTGGTGGAGCCATGCATGGCAAGGTGGTGATACCAATGCCCCACTGGAATGAAAGTAAGCATTGGGGTCTAAAACGACAAATGCTGTGCCAAAAATGGCAAACACGCCAACCACGCCAAACATGGCAAACTATGGCAAACATGGCAAACATGGCAAACAAGCTAGGCACACCAAGCACGCCAGACACACAAGACACACCCCACAAACTGACAGACCTGGATGTACGGGTCGGGCGAGATGACGGAGCGGCAGGCGTAGTTGACGCGCTTGCCCATCATGTTCATTCGAAACAGCCCCTCCTTCCTCTCCAGCTGCTGCCGTATGCCGTTCGCCGGGTCCTTTTGTGAGCCTGCGACAAGGTGAGAAAGAGAGGGCACGGGAGCGGCAAAAGGGGTTGAGTGAAGGTTGGGGATGGAGAGGTGTGGAAGAGGAAAGAGGGGGGTTATGGAAGGGGCCGTTTCATTTGGAACAGCCGCTCCTAGTTCTCCAGCTGCTGCTGTATGCCGTTTGCTGGGTCCTTTTGCGAGTCTGCACTCCAGTAAGGGGAAGTAAGGCAAAAGACGGGGGTGGGGTGGAAGGTTCGTGTGACACATGTGACACACCACCTGACACCATGTGAGACCAAGTGACACCTTGTGACACCTTCCTTTCCATCCACTCACCAAGCCTGCTTATGCCCCTGCAAGCACTGACTCTGGCTGCTATCAAGGAAGCAGTTCTCGTGGTGCTGCAGCTGCAGCCACACAATCACCGCCCCCTCCAATGACTGTTAATATGAACCCAACCATGCGATAATTTCCTTTCCACCCACTCACTCAGGCTGCTGAGCCTCACTCATTGAGCCCGCCCTCCCATAACCACTCACTCAGGCTGCTGTCCAGGAAGCAGTTCACGTGGTGCTGCAGCTGCAGCCACGCAATCGCCGCCTTCCTCACTTCCGTCGCGCCTATCTCCGCCCCCTCCGCCGCCGCTCCCCCTCCGCCATCCACCCCCGCCGTATACACCAGCTTCGCCAGCTGCTGACCCCCCCCTTCCCCCTCAGCAGCAGCAGTGGCAGCGTTGGCGCCTGTAACAGCGCTACCAGCGGCAGCAGCAGCGGAGGCGGCGGCGGCCTCTCGGCCGATCTGAGTGATGAAGAGGTTGGCCTCGAGGATTTTCGTGAGAAAGACGTTCTGAGCGTGCTCCAGCAACTGGTGGGGGGAGGGGAGGGATGGGGGGAGGGAGAAGGAGAGTTTGGGTGTTTTGGGTTTGGGAAAGGTGCATTGCAGTCTTGAGACGACTCGGTCGATCTGAGTGATAAAGAGGTTAGCCTCGAGAATTTTTGTGAGAAAGACGTTGTGAGGGTGGTCCAGCAGCCGAGGAGAGAGAGGGCGAGGGAGGGGATGGAGGGGAAGAAGTTAGGTGTTTGTGGGGGTCGGAAAAGGTGCAGTTCTTGAGGCTTCTCGGCCGATTTGAGTGATGGAGAGGTTTGCTTCTCGGCCGATTTGAGTGATGGAGAGGTTTGCTTCTCGGCCGATTTGCGTAAGGAAGACGTTCCCAGGGTGCTCCAACAGCTGAGGGGGAGAGGGGGGGAAGATGGAGAGGAGGAGGTTAGGTGTTTTGAGAGGTTCGGTAAAATTGCAGTGCAGTCTCGCGGCTTCTCGGCTGATCTGAGTGAGTGACAAACAAGTTGGCCTCGAGGGAGCGAGTGCGAACGACATTAAGAAGGTGCCTCAACAGATCCCAGCAGCAAGCAAGCCTGCCCATCCCACCATGTCGTTCATCAGGTTGGGGGGGCGGAACTTGTTGGGTGGCACGAGCAGGCAAGCAGCCCAGCATGCACCCAGCGGCCCAGCCCATACAACCAAGGCCCCAGCAACCACCCAGATCCCCATGCATTCAGCCCCAGCCAGCCCACCATATCGTTCATAAGGTTGGGAGGGCGGAACTTGTTGGGCGGCACAAGCAGGCAGCGCAGGAAGAACGCAGACGGCCACGTTGCCGCCCCAACACCGCCCCCATGCTGCCCCACGCCCTGCTGCTGCCCGTAGTACACCTTATGATGGTACTGGGACATCCCTGCAGGGAAGGCCGAGTGGCCGGAGCGGCCACTGCAGGGGTGGGAGTGGGAGGAGGAGGAGAGAGCCGAGGAGCCGAAGAGAGCGTTGCAGATGGCGGGTTCGCGGATCCACAGCCTTCTCAAATGCTCCTCCACCTCAGCCACATTCATCAGAAACGGCCGCCTCGTCCCCGCCTCTCCCACTCCTCCTCCTCCCTTCCCCCGCTTCCGCTTCGCTGCTGCGGCAGCCACCATCTCGTCGTCGCTGTCATCGTCGTCCCTCAGCAACATGCGCTTCTCTCCGCTTCCGTTTCCGTCCACGGTGTAGCTCCGGAGTTCGCCGTCCGGCCCGATGCTGATGTCGGCGGGGTCCTTCCCGGAAGCTGCGGCTTCTGCCAGTTCTGCCAGCACGTCTGGGAAGGTGAATCCGTTCAGGTCGTTCTGGTGCTGCGGCTTCACTGCCAGAGGTTTCTGATGCGGGGGAAATGTGAAAATGGCGGGTGGGGAGGTGGAATTGGGTGGTAGCGGAAAGGTGAAGCCCTGCAAGTCGTTCTGCTGCTGCTGCTTCGCCCACAGCGGCCTCTGAAGGACTCAAAGCAGGGAATGCGGTGCAGGTGACGGTAGGTAGGAGGGAGGGAGGAGGGTGTGAGGAGACGTGTACCATAAAAACCTAGACCTTGAAACCGTAAACCACAAAAACTTTCACCTTGAAAACCCTTCAATCCCAAACCCACCCCAACCCCTATAACCGAGCCCCTGACCCCAAACAGTCAGACGCACTCGGAAGATCTTACTGTGGCCCTCCCGCTTGACGCTGGGGTTGATGGCAAAGCAGTTCTGGCACTTGGAGGGCGGCACCACACTCCACAGCTCCCGCACCACCTCCCTCGCCGCCACCTGTGCCGCACCTTGAAACCCGAAACCCTGAATTGTGGACCTCGAAACCCCAAACCCAAACCCGAAACCCAAACCCGAAACCTTGGACCTTGGGACCCCAAACGTAAACCGTGCAAACCCGAAATCACCATTCATTCCAGACATACTCGGAAGATCTTACTGTGGCCCTCCCTCTTGACGCTGGGGTTGTTGGCAAAGCAGTTCTGGCACTTGGAGGGCGGCACCACACTCCACAGCTCCCGCACCACCTCCCTCGCTGCCACCTCTGCTGCACCTTAAAACCCTAAACCCTGAACCCGGAAACCGAAATCCCAGACTATACACCAGCCAGACGTACTCTGAAGATCTTACTGTGGCCCTCCCGCTTGACGCTGGGGTTGTTGGCAAAGCAGTTCTGGCACTTGGAGGGCGGCACCACACTCCACAGCTCCCGCACCACCTCCCTTGCCGCCACCTCTGCCGCCCACGACCACCTCTCCTCCCCTCCCCCTCCCCCTTCCCCCAACACATCCCCCTCCTCGACTTCCCCGGCAGCAGCCGCTGCTTCTGCTGCTGCAGCAGCAGCCTTCTCAGCCTCGGTTTTCCAAGATCCGTCGATATCCATCTCCTCTGCTGTTTTCTCCTCCTCCTCCTCCTCCTCCTCCTCCTCCTCCTCATCCTCCTCCTCATCATCTACTGCCCCCGCTGGCCCAGACACATATACAGCCTTCACTCCTCCTTTTCCTCCTCCTAATTCCCCTTCTCCTCCCTTTCCTTTCCCATTCCCCTTGCCCCAGCCTCGGCGCTTGGCCTTGGGCGGCATTTTCTGCCCCAGCTCCTGCGCCTCCCTCAGCCGCCCCTGGGCGATGAGCGCCAGCCGCAGCGCATACAGCTTCGACTGCACACGTGGGGGTTGGGTGGTGGAGGGGGGTGGAGTAGAGGGTTTTAAGTTTCAACCCAAGAGGCCATCCCAGCTCCTGCGCCTCCCTCAGCCGCCCCTGGGCGATGAGCGCCAGCCGCAGCGCATACAGCTTCGACTGCACACGTGGGGGTTGGGTGGTGGAGGGGGGTGGAGTAGAGGGTTTTAAGTTTCAACCCAAGAGGCCATCCCAGCTCCTGCGCCTCCCTCAGCCGCCCCTGGGCGATGAGCGCCAGCCGCAGCGCATACAGCTTCGACTGCACACGTGGGGGTTGGGTGGTGGAGGGGGGTGGAGTAGAGGGTTTTAAGTTTCAACCCAAGAGGCCATCCCAGCTCCTGCGCCTCCCTCAGCCGCCCCTGGGCGATGAGCGCCAGCCGCAGCGCATACAGCTTCGACTGCACACGTGGGGGTTGGGTGGTGGAGGGGGGTGGAGTAGAGGGTTTTAAGTTTCAACCCAAGAGGCCATCCCAGCTCCTGCGCCTCCCTCAGCCGCCCCTGGGCGATGAGCGCCAGCCGCAGCGCATACAGCTTCGACTGCACACGTGGGGGTTGGGTGGTGGAGGGGGGTGGAGTAGAGGGTTTTAAGTTTCAACCCAAGAGGCCATCCCAGCTCCTGCGCCTCCCTCAGCCGCCAGTGAGAGATGAGCGCCAGGCGCAGTGCATACGGCTTCGACTGCACACGTGGGGGGTGAGTGGGGGAGCGGGGTGGGGTGGGGTGGGGTTCGAGGTCATGCAGCGCAGCGCAGCAGCTTCACAAGGAGAGGGAAGAGCAACGGGCCGGGTGATAGACAGGACAGGCAGGCCGAGATCCGGCTACCCCCCCATCTGCCTCCCAGGACAGGCAGGCCGAGATCCGGCTACCCCCCCATCTACCTCCCAGGACAGGCAGGCCGAGATCCGGCTACCCCCCCATCTACCTCCCAGGACAGGCAGGCCGAGATCCGGCTACCCCCCCATCTACCTCCCAGGACAGGCAGGCCGAGATCCGGCTACCCCCCCATCTACCTCCCAGGACAGGCAGGCCGAGATCCGGCTACCCCCCCATCTACCTCCCAGGACAGGCAGGCCGAGATCCGGCTACCCCCCCATGTACCTCCCAGGACAGGCAGGCCGAGATCCGGCTACCCCCCCATCTACCTCCCAGGACAGGCAGGCCGAGATCCGGCTACCCCCCAATCTACCTCCCAGGACAGGCAGGCCGAGATCCGGCTACCCCCCCATCTACCTCCCAGGACAGGCAGGCCGAGATCCGGCTATATTGGAGTGACTTTTGAGAATTCTCAAAAGCTACCCCCCCATCTACCTCCCAGGGCAGATGGTAGAGAGGCAGCAGGGCTAGCTCTATCTACCCGAACCTAACCCAAACACTTGCAGCTGTGAAGGAAAATGCCTACCATGACAGAAAGAAGATTGAGGTGGTGGCAGCGCAGGCACACGCAGCGGGTGGTACATGGGCAGGGGGGCTAGCTTAACCCTAACAAGCCCGAGGTTGCGAAGGAGAATACGTACCACAGCGGAGAGCAGCTTCAAATGGTGGCAGCGCAGGCACACGCAGCGGAGCAGCTTCACGAGCAGGGAGAAGAGCAGCGGGTGGTACACTGGAAGTGCCAGCTCCAGGTGGCCGAAATGCCCCGGGCAATGGAAGTACCCCAGCTGGCAGGTGACGCAACTGTGAGGGGGGTTGAGGTGTAGGGTTTAAGGAGAGGACAGAGAAAGGGTTTAGTGGAAAGCACGTTGAAGAGCAGCGGGTGGTACACGGGCAGCGCTAGCTCCAGGTGGCCGAAATGCCCCGGGCAATGGAAGTACTCCAGGTGGCCGAAATGCCCCCTTCCCCCCTCATAAACCCCCCTAAACCCCGAAAGTACTCACACGTCAGACTTATCGACAGGGCCGAGTGCGGGGTCATAGAGGCCGCCAGCAGCAGGGCCGCGCAGCCCATCGAAAAGGAGCGGGTTGGTGATGCGCCTCACGCTGATGGCACTGCCCCTTCATCCCCCCTTTCCCCCACTGGCTGGCCCCCATAAACCTCCCCAGAACTCCTCCCTATAAGCTTACACATCAGATTTGTCCACAGGGCCAAGCGCGGGGTCGTAGAGTCCCCCTTCGGCGGGGCTGCGCATTCCGTCCCTCCTAAACCCCCCAAAACCCCTTCCAATCAAACTCACACATCCGATTTATCTACGGGGCCAAGAGCGGGGTCATAGAGCCCCCCTGCGGCGGGGCTGCGCAGCCCATCGAAGAGCAGCGGATTGGTGATGCGCCTCACGCTGATGGCGCGCACCTCCATCTTTCCCAAGCCTAGCCCCATGCTCCCAACCCTAGCCCCCATAAATCCCGCCAAAACCCCTCCGTGTGAGCTTACACGTCGGATTTATCGACGGGGCCGAGTGCGGGGTCGTAAAGACCCCCCGCGGCGGGGCTGCGCAGCCCATCGAAGAGCAGCGGATTGGTGATGCGCCTCACACTGATGGCGCGCACCTCGTCCGCCGTGTAGAATCCGAACCCCACGCCCTCTATCACGCGGCTCACCACCTGTTGAGGGGGAGGAAGGAGGGAGGGGGTCGCGGAGTTGCAGCGGGGAGGAGGAAGGGGAAAAGGGGAGTGTAAGGGGAAGGGAGATTGAGGGTTCTGATGGCGCGCACCTCGTCCGCCGTGTAGAATCCGAAGCCCACGCCCTCTATCACGCGGCTCACCACCTGTGAGGGTAGAGGCAGGGGAGGGGGAAGGGGAAGACAAGGAGTACGGATGCGCCTCACGCTGATGGCGCGCACCTCGTCCGCCGTGTCGATGGCGAAGCTTACGCCCTCTATCACGCGGCTCACCACCTGTGGGGGCGTGGGGGAAAAGGGGAGGGGGGTTGCTGGGGGGAGGGCAGGAGGGGGAGAATGAGTGCGGAGGAATGGGGGCTGATCGCGCTCGCGTCTTCCGCCATGTGGAAGCGGAAACCCGCGGCTACGACAGTGCCTAGAGGCATTTTCGTGACGCAAGCGGCATGGCAGACGTCTAATAATAGCCGGCATTGTAGTGTGGCATTAAGCGAGACGCGGGAAAAGGCTAGAGCTTGTTGATTTTGCGGAGGAATGACGCGTGGTGTTATTGAGTCGACTTCGAGGTGACTTTCGAGTCTCCCAGAGTGAATAACGCGCGGCCGCAAACGAGACGCGGGGTAAGGCTAGAGCCTGTTTGTTGTGCGAAGTAATGCTGATGGTAGGCTGTCGTCGACGCATAGGGGAGGGGGAACCGTGCAAGGCCGTGGATAACCGAGAAGCGAGGCTTGAAAACAGTTTCGGCGTGTCAGCATATGTTGCGAATATTAGAATCTGGCCGCAAATTCTTGCCTTTAAGATTGAGAAGCAAATAACGGGCTGTGGAGAAGCGGAATCGTCTACATGTAGATGAACTCATGCGCACCTCATGACGAACCGACTTGTTCATGGTCGCATTAACGGCGGACGGTGAGATACTAAGACTGCTTCACGGTCACCAGTACCACCGAATGCCGGTCCGACGTAACACGGTGCGATTCGAATACCGGCACGCGATGCAAATTCCTCGAAACACGATGAATCCCCGAACTCCAGCGCGGCTTTCCGCCGGTCGATTCGAGGCGGTCAACCAGCGGATCAGGCGGCCTTGAAGAAGCAGGGATAGGAGACAGGAAATTTGCTAACCCTAAATCAAGGTGTAGGAGGCTGGATGCTATGGGGTGAGGAATTCGCCGCTACAAGCGAGGTCGGCAAAGCACATAAATGGCTACATGATGATTCGCGTGATCAAAATTGTCGTACATGTATTAATGCAAATGCAAACAATGTTTGGTCTATATTTCATGCAGCCAGTCCCTACAATCGAAATATCCTTATGTTATCGATGTTCAGTAGCAAGGGTACCGTGGTACTTGCATGATAAAAAATCGGGATACAATAAAGCGCGCACAAGGTGGTCTACAACTTAATTGCTATACATTCCTGAATGCACCAGAACTAACTGTCCTGTTCCAAAGTTTCATGCAGAAATCAGGGCTGTATCACAGAGCTTGCACTCGTCCTATATGTATGCCCTTGAACTGGAGCAAACAGTGAACCTAGCGTTGGTGAAAAAAAAAAAAACAGTTAGAGCAGGGAAGACAGGCAAACAGTTAGGAGCAGATGATTGAATGGACGAATGTTTTTGAAAGGACCAAGTATCAGCCCAAGAAACTGACTCAGATATCACGAACCGAGCAGCCAGCACTAGGGAACGTGACTGATGACAGAGGCATGGACTCCTGCATCCGGTTCTCAAACCCATTGCCTAATTATGTCAGAAGGGCACCGAGCGCACCTAAGAGTGGTTAGAGCATGACAACCCGTACTAGCACTAGGCCAATGGATAACGAATTCATGGCAATAACACGTCACAACTGGTCATGATGATAGTCCACTACATCACTATTCAGGCTGGAGGTGATCAACATGATAAAATTTTAAGCGCCTCATAACTCGTCTCAATCCGCTACAGTGTGCCACTACAGGCGTACCCCTACATAGTTTCCTTCTAAGGTGAACCACGGGACTGGAACCATACAAGTCACTAGGTCACCTCTCGGGTTGCCAGTGCTCTACGCTCGGCTAAGGAGGAGACATTTTAATAATGGCTCCTCGAAACGCCGTTGGCCAGAAGCATTTCGATCCGCCGAGCAAACGCGCTCGTCGTTGAAATGTCAATGGCCTGTAAAAAAAAGCACAACCGTTACTGCCCCTTGACCACTTTTCTCCTCACCTGCGCGTCACTATAACGAGGTCATTGCGTCGCTTCGCGGAAAGCCTCCATCTTCTTCATCCGCCGTAGGAACAGCTCGTATTCGCACTTTTCGTACGAGTGCCGCTCGTCGCTGCACTTCCACGGCGCGAACATCGTCTCCGTGCGACACCGGTTCAGCGGAATCAGCAGATGCGCGCACAGATCGCGCGCGCCCAGGCTCAGCCGCGCGTTCGCCATCTCCTCCTCCGACACCAGCGGCTTCTCCGGAGCGGACATGGCTGCAAATCGAAAGGAACCTTTTCTTCCCTTGCGCAGACGCGATATAAGAAAGAATCAGAGGCTTTAGACGCTACTATTGCGCGTCGGCGTGTTGCGGGTGCGGGAAGAGCGCAAGCGGTGGTGGAGGGCTGTGCGGTGGTGGAGGGCTGTGCGGTGGGCGGAGTCGGGAGTGGAGCAGGTGTGGCGGACGGGATGCGGAGTGCTGGGACGAGAGAGGATTGATGAACTACCTGTACCCGCTGCAAGTAGAAACCATACTGGTTGTTGGAATGTGAGTTAGTTTAGAGAGGACGTGACTTTCCATAGCTGTAATGTGGAGTACCTTTTGATCATCTGTTGTGCATGATTCTTCTACATCCTCTTTTTTATCGTGATATTATTGTCCAGACATGATAATTGCCTATTTTTTTTTCCTTGAATGGGGCTATAAAAATATCTTTCTAGAGTGGGACTAAGTTTCCTCAGGTTTTATCGTATTACAATGTGTACATTCAAGGGAGTCAACCAGCACATGTAGCAATAAACAATATATTTCTAGGTCGTTATCGGGATCCACCTACAACGAGAAAACCTCTGACACAATCTGTAGTGCTACCCCGACACAGTTCCAAAATCTAGATTCCAGAGCTGCTTTTCACTCAACATTGCCTTCCCTACTGTTCAACGTCCATAGTGTCTTGCTGATCAGTGCGATTAAGCAAATAAATAGCCATTCGATAAAATGTCATGACGGAAATCCCCATACACGCAGCGATGGCGTTTCCGCACAGACCCCGCAAGGGTCAATGCGCACGCCAGCGCAAACCCCGCAGGGGTCAATGCGAACGCCGGAGCAGACTCCGCTAACTCCGCGGGACTCGGGGCGATCGAGCTCGCCTCAGCTGAACTTCACGCCGCGCGCGAGCGCCGGCAGCCCGTACAGCTCGCAGCAACCCACCGTCCGATCCACGTGCGTTGCGTCTAGTATCTATTAGTCGTTGCTTACTTGCATCTACCAGTTCGTTTTTCTAAGTGGAATCAAAAGCCACCGCCGAAGAGCGCAAGCAAGCGATCACCGCAGCAACGAACTGTCCGATCCGCGTGTGTTGCGCCTAGCGCCAACTAGTGGTTTTCTTGTTACAGTTTCAGATTCATGCACTCCTACTCGTTGAGTAGTCGTTGGTCCGTTCCTGCAGCCGCTTTCGTCGTGAAAGATCCATCTTTTATCTGACACGCGCTTTCATGATTTCAGGGGACCTCGGTGCTCGCTTCCACTCAATCGAACGGGAACTCTAGGCAGGCTAACTTTTGCTCGACTCACACGCAATCGATCCGTGTTCTGTTGGGATCCGGACCTCGATCACGTATGTACTGTGCGCGCCTGTTCTCCCCACCACTCTGCACCCAACCCCACCTTCCCTCCCCCCTCACCAACACCCCCTCGCCCACTACTGTTCCTCCCCTCTTCCCCCCCCCCCCCCCCCCCTTCCCTCCCCCTCCGCATTTCCCTCCCATCAGTCCGTCCTTCCCCAGGAGGAACCTCGGCGGGTTTATGGCGTAGCGCCGCCAGTTGCCGTCACTCACGGTTGGATAGGCAGCAAAGAGAAAACCTGATTCACTGCTTTTTCCTCATTCCCCCCAATCTCCCCCCGCTCAGTCCGTCCTTCCCCAGGAGCGACCTCGGGGGCTCCATGGCGCAGCGCCGCAGGTTCCACCGCCGCAGGCAGGGCGCATCAGGGCAGGCGGCATCTGGGGGTGGTGCGCCTTCAGGCACGCCTGTCAGCACGCCAGGGGCCCCCTGAGCCGTCTGATAGCCTGGTAGGTGGTTTCTGAAATGCCTCACCGTTAGGGCAGGTGGCATCTGGGAGTGGTGCGCATGCAGGTTCGTCGTCAGCACGCCAGGACCGCCTGAGCGATCTGATAACCTGTTATTTGTCTGTTGAAAGGCATCACAAGCACTGTCAGGGCAGGCGGCATCTGGGGGAGGTGCTCCTTCTAGCACGCCCATCAGCTCTTCGGGCCCCATTGAGCCATCCGATTGCCTGGTGGGTGGCCTTTGGGGTGGCTTAAGAAAAAATAGGACAGGTTGTAGCTTATGTAGGGAAGGGCGTATCTGGGGACGAAATTCGGAGCAGCACAATGGTTTCCTCTCTCTGCTCCGCTCGCCCTCCCTTTCCCCTCCTGTTTCGCTCACGCCCCACACAGGGAGGCAACTCGGAGCAGGACAGAATGTCGTGGGAGCAGTACCACCGCCAGCAGCAGCAGAGGGGGAGAGGAGGAGCCGCAGGAGCTGGGGGGAGGGCAGGTGGAGGGGCAGGGAGAGGGGCAGGGGCAGCGGCAGGGGAAGGGTCGCGCGGGGAAGCAGGACCGAGTGGGGAGGCGCAGGGGATGGGAATGGGGCAGGGTGAGGGGGAGGAGGAGGAGTTGGAGGGGACGTTTGTGTGGGGCACGGGGGTGAGCGTGCAGGACGTGTCGAGCAAGTTTGCATCGTTCGTGCGGCACTTCAGGGAGGCGGATGATGCCCTTCACGCCAAGTACTCTCAGCAGCTTGATGAGGTGCGGTTTGGGTCGGGGGGGAGGGGTTGTGGTGGGAAGGGAAGGGGGGGGATTGAAAGAGGCGGTCTTGCGATGGGAAGGGAGTGAGAAAGGAGACGAACTGTCCAGCACGCTTCTGTTGCTCGTGCAGCACTTCAGGGAGGCGGATGATGCCCTTCAAGTTAAGTACCCTCAGCAGCTCGATGAGGTGCGGTGGGAGGGAGAGGGGTTGTGTGTGTAACGTGGGGAGGAGGGAGAAGGGAGGGGGATGTGAGTGAGCAATGAGGGGAATTGGGCAGGTAAGTTTGCATCGTTTGTGCGGTATTTCAGGGAGGCGGATGATGCCCTTCACGCTAAGTACTCTCAGCAGCTAGATGAGGTGCGGTGGGGGGAGGAGGAAGGGAAGGGGGAGAGGGGGGGGGGGGTGTGGCGGGGATGAAGGGGGCGGTAAAGGAGGATTTGAGGGGACTCAGGGAGGTGAGTGCGCTGTGAGGGGAAGACAAACGCCCGTGGACTGTGCTGACGTTCACGCCTTCTCCCCCGCACCGCATTCCTGTCCAAACACCCTGCCAATCCGCCTACCGCCTCTCCAACTACTTATAACCCTCCGTCCCTCCAACACTCACACCAGCTGGTGGAGATGGAGGGGGACACGTTTCCCCCGGACTGGACTGACAACTTTTGAGATGTTTCGAAGTCGCCTTATTCACCTATCCCCATGCCATGCACGCCCATCTCGCATGCCCCCCGCTCACACAACCCACTCACACACCAGCTGGTGGAGATGGAGGGGGACACGTTTCCCCCGGACTGGACTGACAACTTTTGAGATGTTTCGAAGTCGCCTTATTCACCTATCCCCATGCCATGCACGCCCATCTCGCATGCCCCCCGCTCACACAACCCACTCACACACCAGCTGGTGGAGATGGAGGGAGACACCTTCCCTGTGGACTGTGCTGACGTGTACGCCTTCTCTGCTGAGCTGTACCGCCTGCTAGTGCGCTACCCATTGGAGGTCATCCCCATCTTCGACATCAAGATCGCTGAGCTGGCAGCCGACCGCATGCCCATGTGGGACAAGCACATCCAGGTGGGCGGCTTGGGCAGCTGACAGATTTCTTGAGCAGCTGACAGACTTCTTGGGCACCTGAAAGATTTCTTGGGAAGCTGACAGATTGACCATGTGGGAGAAGTACATGCAAGTGAATGTAGCGATCTCTCACCTCACTCACCACACTCACCACACTCACCACACTCACCACACGCACCACACTCACCTGCCATAGCCGCATCTGGTTGTTCAAGAAAAGAAATGCGCCTCCCTCACTTCTGCCTCTCTCCCTTCCTCCCCCCCCTCAGGTGCGCACTCCAGTCACCCTCGGGACACAGTGGACATGCGAGACCTCCCACTCTCTGTTCCTCCTCTTCACCTCTCCCCTTGCTGAGTGAGGCAGTGGGGGACAGTGCGTGGGTGGAATGACATCAAGGCCGCTTACTTCAAGTGCCTCATGTGCGGCCACTCGCCAGACCTCGTGCTTGTTGACCGAGGTGCGTTGAGAGAGTAACCTGGAGAGGTGTGAGTGACGTGCTGGATTGTTTGTCCGGGGACAACATTCCTACCTCAAGTGTCTCGTGTGCGGCTGGCCACTCGCCTAACTGGTACTTCCCCCCTTTCGAGGCGCCTCAAAAGGCCTAAATGGTACTTCCCCCCTTTTGAGGCGCCTCAAAAGTCGTCTCGTGTGCAGCTGGCCACTCGCCTAACTGGTACACTCCCCCCTTTCCACACTCCCGTCTTCCCGCCGTCCCCTCCTCCTCCATCCTTTGCTCCTTGCGATCGATCTTTAGAATTTTGGAAAAAAAAACAAAAAAAACATCTTTTATTCCGTGCATGTCTCCCAGGAGTAATTGAGGAGCCAAGACAGTGTCCCCGGTTCGAGTGTGGGGCATTGAACAGCATGACTCTAATGCACAACCGAAGCCGATTCATTAACAAGCAGAGCCGATGCTGCTGCCTCTGCAGGAGGCACATGTTCCCCCATCTCCCTCCCTCCCTCCCCTCTCCTCCGCGTCCCTCCTTGGGTCCTTGCAGGTGTGATTGAGGAGCCAAGGCGCTGTCCCTGGCCTGAGTGCGGAGCGTTGAACAGCATGACGATGCTTCACAACCACAGTCGCTTTATCAACAAGCAGATGCTTCGCCTGCAGGAGACACATGTAGTGTCCCCCATCCCCACTCCCTTCTCCCAGGGGTAATAGAGGAACCACGGCGGTGCCCGTGGCCCGAGTGTGGGGCGTTGAACAGCATGACTCTGGTGCATAACCGCAGCCGATTCATCAACAAGCAGATGCTGCGCCTGCAGGAGACGCCAGAGGACATGCCGGAAGGGGAGACCCCGCACACCGTGTCCGTGTTCCTGTTTGACTCGCTCGTGCATACTGCCAAGCCGGGTGACCGAGTGGAGGTGAGTGGGTGGGTGGGTGGGTGGGTGGGTGGGTGGTCTGGTAATTGGTTGTGCTGCGCCTTGTCGCCGAGGCGGTGGCCTTCACAAGCACTGGCGAGTTGTGCTGTGCACCGCTGCTGCAGCAAAACCTGTGGGCTCACCGGCTGACTGGCTGACCCGCTGACTGACTGGCTAACCGGCTGACTGGCTGACCGGCTGACTGGCTGACCGGCTGACCGGCTGACCTGCTGTCCAGCTACCCGCCTTACTTGTGTGCCTTGCCCCTGGTATCGCAATGCTGTGTGTGTGTGCAGGTGACTGGGGTGTTTCGAGCCGTGCCCGTGCGAGTTAACTCCAACCAGCGCAACCTGCGCTCTCTCTACCGGGTGGGTGTGTAGGTGGGTTGAAGGGCTGGGTGTTTGGCTGCTGCTGCTGCTGCTGCTGCTGCAGACCTATCTGGACTGCATTCACATTCACAAGGAGGATGGGGGGCTGCACGCGCAACAAGGGGGCAGCGTTGCAGGCATAGGAACAAGCTCACCTTCCCTCCCCCTCCCCCTCCCCCTCCCCCTCCCCCTCCCCCTCCCCCTCCCCCTCCCTGGGAGGGAAATATTTTGCAGCGTGTGTTTTTTTAGAATTCTCAAAAAACGGTCACCTTCCCTCCCCCTCCCCCTTCCCCCTCCCCCTTCCCCCTCCCCCTTCTCCCTCCCCGCATCCCACGCCTGCAGACCTATCTGGACTGCATTCACATTCGCAAGGAGGATGGGGGGCTGCACGCGCAACAAGGGGGCAGCGTTGCAGGCATAGGAACAAGCTCACCTTCCCTCCCCCTCCCCCTCCCCCTCCCCCTCCCCCTCCCCCTCCCCCTCCCCCTCCCCCTCCCCCTCCCCCTCCCCCTCCCCCTCCCCCTCCCTGGGAGGGAAATATTTTGCAGCGTGTGTTTTTTTAGAATTCTCAAAAAACGGTCACCTTCCCTCCCCCTCCCCCTTCCCCCTCCCCCTTCTCCCTCCCCGCATCCCACGCCTGCAGACCTATCTGGACTGCATTCACATTCGCAAGGAGGAGGGGGGGCGCACACGTAACAAGGGGGCAGCACAGCAGTCGCAGTCACAACAGCCGCTGACAACATCTGCTGGGGGTGATGCGGATGATGCAAACCCTGACGCTGCCTACTTCTCACCGCAACAGGTACGGATGGGTTTTCCCCCATCAGCCACCTGTGCACATCAGCCACCTGTGCACATCAGCCACCTGTGCACATTAGCCACCTGTGCACATTAGCCACCTGTGCACATCAGCCACCTGTGCACATCAGCCATCTGTGCACTCCCCCTATGCTTGTAGAGGCATGATATGGCTGTCCTTCGAAGTCCCACACACCCTCCCACTTTCCGCCTATCTGTGTCTCTCACACCCCACCAGGTGGAGGCATTTCGGAAACTATCCCGGCAGCCAGACATATACGAGAGGCTGGCTCGCTCCCTGGCGCCGTCCATCTATGAGCTGGATGACATCAAGAAGGGGCTGCTGTGCCAGGTGGGGGCGATGATGGTGTGGGGTAGTGACTAGCAAGCGAGGGATATTGCTCAAAAGCACATCACATGTGCTCCCTGGCTGGCTGGCAAGCGAGGGATATTGCTCAAAATACACATCACATGTGCTCCCTGGCTGGCTGGCAAGCAAGGGATATTGAAGTGGAGGGAGTGCTGTGCTGGGAAGGGGGAAAGGGAGTGCTGTATCAGCGAGTTTTTAGGCGCCTTAAAATTGCCTCACTACACACGAATTTCCAAATAAAAGTGAAGGGATAGCTGTGCTGGGTAGGGGGGAAGTGGGGGCGGAATTGTGCATGCAGTGGGTGGGGCGCATGAACGTGGTGCTGGTGGGGGACCCAATTCGACTCGGGCTCTCTACCCACATCTCTCAAGGCCCTTTTCCTCGTGCTCCACCTTCATCCCCTTTCCAGCTGTTCGGTAGGTCAGTGAAGTGCCTGTCGTCAGGAGTGCAGTTCCGCGATGACATGAACGTGCTGCTGGTGGGGGACTCGGGCACAAGCATACCATGCTTGCCTTGAATGCTTGTCGATTCCCTTCTCGCCTCGTCCTCCCTTGCAGCTGTTTGGGGGTTCCGTAAAGCTCCTGTCGTGAGGAGTGCAGTTCCGCGGAGACATGAACGTGCTGCTGGTGGGGGACCTGGGCACAAGCATACCCGGCTTGACTTGATCTGACTTCACACCTCCGTTCGCCTTTCCATCCCTTTTCCAGCTCTTTGGAGGGTCGGTAAAGCGCCTATCGTCAGGAGTGCAGTTTCGAGGAGACATGAACGTGCTGTTGGTGGGGGACCCGGGCACGAGCAAGTCGCAGCTGCTGCAGTATGTCCACAAGATTGCTCCTCGGGGGATTTACACGAGCGGCCGGGGGAGCAGTGCCGTGGGGCTTACTGCATACGTCACAAAAGACCCTGAAACACGTGAAATGGTGAGCTGAGGTTGGCTGATTGTTTGTTCTTGTTTTTGAAGGATCGAGCAAGTCGCAGCTGCTGCAGTATGTGCACAAGATTGCCCGCAGAGGCATCTACAGCAGTGGCAGAGGGAGCAGTGCTGTGGGGCTCACTGCTTACATGACAAAGGACCCCGAGACACGCGAATTGGTGGGTCCCCTAGTTCGCTGGTCTGGGTTTCGGCGATTGCTGCTGCTGCTTTGCGTTTAGATGCATGGGTAAGCAAGTCGCAGCTGCTGCAGTATGTGCACAATTCGCCCCCCGAGGGATCTACACGAACAGTTGGGGCAGCAGTGCTGTTGGGGCTCGCAGCCTGTCACCAAAATTGTGCGGCATGCCTAACAAGCTGAGTCTTCTTTCTCCTCTGCTTCCTCTGCCCCACCCCCTACCTGCCTGTCAGCCTGCCTGCAGGTACTGGAAAGCGGAGTGCTGGTGCTGAGCGACCAGGGCATCTGCTGCATTGATGAGTTGAGGTTGAGAAAGTCTGGGTTGAATGCGGTGCTGTGCGTTTTTCTTCCCATTCCCCTGTCTGCCTATAGGTGCTGGAGAGTCGAGCTCTGGTGCTGAGCGATCGGGGCATCTGCTGCATCGATGAGTTGAATCCGGTGCTTTGAGCTTCTGCTTGCTCCCCGCATTCCTTGCGCCTCCACAGGTGCTGGAAAGTGGAGCGCTGGTGCTGAGCGATCGGGGCATCTGCTGCATCGATGAGTTGAATCCGGTGCTTTGAGCTTCTGCTTGCTCCCCGCATTCCTTGCGCCTCCACAGGTGCTGGAAAGTGGAGCGCTGGTGCTGAGCGATCGGGGCATCTGCTGCATCGATGAGTTTGACAAGATGTCCGACAATGCCCGTAGCATGCTGCACGAGGTGAGAGGAGGGTGGGGGGTGGGGTGTGAGAGGTGCATGATGTGCCGACTGTCTCGGTATCCTCGGTGACAGCGCCACCTACTCACAAGTTCGCTGCTACTCCCATCATGAATCTTGATCCGTGAGGTGCATGATGTGCCGACTGTCTCAGTAGCCAAGGCAGCCGTTATCGCCACAGGTGTCCAATTGGTCAGTGCTCACTGTATGGTGCGTACCTTCCACACCTGTGCCAGTCATGATTAAGTAGGCGCAAAAAACTCCAGTGTCAGTGGCCAAGGCAGGCATCATAGCCACAAGTCCAATCCCTCAGTGTTCACCATTCCCTCCACAATGCCGTACTCTCCCCACTTGCAACAACTTGTTGCCACGTGCTTGCCAATGCCCTCTCCCCCCACCAGGTGATGGAGCAGCAGACCGTGTCAGTGGCCAAGGCAGGCATCATCGCCACGCTCAACGCACACACGTCTGTGCTCGCCTGCGCCAACCGTGTGTTCCTGCTAACACACTGTGTGTGTGTACGTACCTCCTCTCCCCCCCCACATCAGGTCATGGAGCAGCAGACTGTCTCAGTGGCCAAGGCAGGCATCATCGCTACGCTCAACGCACGCACGTCTGTGCTCGCCTGCGCCAACCCATCTGGCTCGCGCTACAACCCTCGCCTCTCTGTCATTGACAACATCCAGCTTCCACCTACTCTTCTCTCCAGGTATGGGACCTTGTTTACTTATCCTGACTTGTTTGACTTGACTCTGGCTCGCGCTACAACCCTCGCCTCTCTGTCATTGACAACATCCAGCTTCCACCTACTCTTCTCTCCAGGTATGGGACCTTGTTTACTTATCCTGACTTGTTTGACTTGACTCTGGCTCGTGCTACAACCCTCGCCTCTCTGTCATTGACAACATCCAGCTTCCACCTACTCTTCTCTCCAGGTATGGGACCTTATTTACTTATCCTGATTTGTTTGACTTGACTCTGGCTCGCGCTACAACCCTCGCCTCTCTGTCATTGACAACATCCAGCTTCCACCTTCTCTTCTCTCCAGGTATGGGACCTTATTTACTTATCCTGACTTGTTTGACTTGACTCTGGCTCGTGCTACAACCCGCGCCTCTCCGTCATTGACAACATTCAGCTGCCGCCCACCCTGCTCTCCAGGTATGGGTCTGAATTGGTCTGACTTTCTTGACTCTGGCTCATGCTACAGCCCACGCCTATCTGTTATTGACAACATCCAGCTGCCGCCCACCCTGCTCTCCCGGTATTGGTCTGACTTGTTTTAATGTCTTGACTTGTTTGACTCTTGCTCACGCTACAACCCACGCCTCTTTGTAATTGACAAAATCCAGCTGTCGCCCACCCTGCTCTCCCGCTACTGGATATTGTTTGATCTGCTTGACCTGTATTTACTTGTTGACCTGTTTTACTCGACTCTATGTTGCACTACAAACAACCCATGCTGCAGCCTTTCGTCATTGATAGCGCACAGCTGCTGCCCACCCTCCTCTCCAGAAATCCGTGTCTTTCCTGTTCCTCAATGCCCTTTGCTTTCTTCAATGCCCTTTGCTTTCTTCAATGCTGTCTGCAACCTTCAATCTCAGCTATGTGGTTCTGGAAAAATCTTTCTCGACAAGGCCAAGGTGGATACATCTTCCTCTTTCCTCCTCCTCCCCAGTTATTCATCATTCTTTCTCTTTCTCTTTTCTATCGCCCGCCAGGTTCGATCTCATCTATCTCGTTCTCGACAAGGCAGAGGAGCAGTCGGACCGTCGGTTAGCCCGCCATCTCGTCGCTCTGCACTACAAGAACCCAGAGGTACTGTGCGGTGCAGAGGTGCTGAGTGTGGTGCAGTGTTAGTGTGTGCTGTGCAGAGGTACCGTATGCGGTGGAATTAAAAACAATCACTGCTTATCCCTTCTCCATCTCCCTCCCCTCCATTCCCTCCCTTCCCTTCCCAGGCCTCTGCAGCTGCCACCATAGACGTGGCAACACTCACCTCGTACATCACGTATGCCCGCATGCGCATCCACCCAGAGTTGAGTGACGAGGCGGAAGAGGAGCTGGTGAATGCAATCTGATTCCTTGTTCCCCCGTCCCTTTTTCCCCAGGCCTCTGCAGCTGCCACCATAGACGTGGCAACGCTCACCTCATACATCACAGGAGCTGGTGCACACGCGCATACACCCGGAGTTGAGCGATGTGCGCAGAGGAGCTGGGTGAACACTCATCGCGCATCCGTCCCCTTGTCCCCCCCCTTTCCGTCTCCCTTCCCTTTCTTCCCTCCCTTCATCCCCAGGCCTCTGCAGCAGCCACGATAGACGTGGCAACACTGACGTCATACATCACATACGCACGCACTCGCATCCACCCGGAATTGAGTGATGAGGCGGCAGAAGAGCTGGTGAACGCTTACGTGGAGCTGCGGGGGCGGGGGTTGGGGCGAAAGGTATGTTTTACGAGGAGGGTAACCGTGGTGAGAGTGGTGGGAAGGAAAGGGAGAACAGCGGGGGGGTTCTTGGAGGGAGGTGAGCGATGAAGCAGCAGTGGAGCTGGTGAACGCTTATGTGGAGCTGCGGGGAAGGGGGTCGGGGCGGAAGGTGAGAATTGGGAGGAGATGGGGTGAACAACGGGTCTAGTGGTGTGGTGAGCATGGGGAGTGGGGAGCTTTAAGATCAAAGAGACTAGCAGCAGAGGAGCTGGTGAACGCTTATGTGGAGCTGCGAGGGAGGGGGTCGGGGAGAAAGGTACGTTTGGGAGGGGGGAGGGAGCTGGTGAACGCTTATATGGAGCTGGAGGGAAGGAAGGGTGCATGGTGGTTTTTGAGGCACCTCAAAAAGCGTTTCAGTTCGAGCTGGGGGGGAGGAGGTGCATGGTGGTTTGGTGGTCTTAATGATGCTCGTGTATACTCGCCTCGCCTACACTCACTCATGCCCACGCATGCATGCACATCGCATACACTCACTCATGCCCACGCATGCATGCACATCGCATACACTCACTCATGCCCACGCATGCATGCACATCGCATACACTCACTCATGCCCACGCATGCATGCACATCGCATACACTCACTCATGCCCACGCATGCATGCACATCGCATACACTCACTCATGCCCACGCATGCATGCACACAAACGTCTACCTGACATGCCTCTCCGTGCCATTCTCCCTGCCACGTCACCCATGCCAGGTCATCACTGCAACGCCACGTCAGCTGGAGAGTCTGATCCGCATCAGCGAAGCCCTCGCACGCTTGAAGCTGGCTTCCACTGTGATTTGGGGAGGAGAGGGGGAAGTGGGGGGGAAAGGGATTGGGGGGAGGAGGGGAAAGAGGGGAGCGGAGGAAGGTTGGGGGAAGGGGAGGGGAGAAGAGGGGAGGGGAGGGGAGGGGGGGACTATGGACCTTGTAGGCACCATTCACGTGGGCCTCGTCACCACTGGCACAGTCCACCCATTGACACTCGCTTCTCCCTCCCTCACTCACTCCCTCGCTCACTCCATCGCCCACTCCCTCACTCACTCACCTGCTTTCACCCGTGTGCACTCGCCTTGCCCCCTTGTGCTGATCCCAGGTGACCCATGAAGACGTGACAGAAGCGCGGCGGCTGTTGGACGTGGCAATGCAGCAGTCAGCCACGGACCCCACCACGGGCACCATCGGTGTAGACCTCCCTCCCTCCCTCCCTCTCACTCCCTTACTTCCCCCATGTGCTGGCAACACCACCAGGTGACTCACAAAGACGTGACAGAAGCTCGGCGGCTGCTAGACGTGGCGATGCAGCAGTCAGCCACGGACCCCACCACAGGCACCATCGACATGGATCTCATCACCACCACCACAATCACAACCAATCTAGCCCAATCCCTCCCTCCCTCACTTTCCCACTCACTCCCTCACTCTCTCTCTCACTCACTCCATCACTCACTCCCTCACTCACTAACTTCCCCTCAGGTGACTCACGAAGACGTGACAGAGGCAAGGCGGCTGCTAGACGTGGCAATGCAGCAGTCGGCCACGGACCCCACCACGGGCACCATCGACATGGATCTCATCACCACAGGCGTGTCAGCCAGTGAGAGGGCCAAGCGCGTGCAGCTGCAGGAGGCGCTGCTCTCCTTCCTGCAGGATAGGGCCACTGCCTCCCGCTCCTCCTTCCGCGCTACCCAGGTAGGGCTGAGAACACACAGGCACCATCACGGACCCCACCACAGGCACCACCACAGGCACCATCGACATGGATCTCATCACCACGGGCGTGTCGGCCAGTGAGAGGGCCAAGCGCGTGCAGCTGCAGGAGGCTCTCCTTTCCTTCCTTCACGATAGGGCCACCGCCTCCCGCTCCTCCTTCCGAGCACCTCAGGTAGGGCTGACAACACACAGGCACCACCTCGGATCCCACCACAGGCACCATCGACATGGAGGGCCAAACGCGTGCAGCTGCAGGAGGCGCTGCTCTCCTTCCTGCAGGATAGGGCCACCGCTTCCCGTTCCTCCTTCCGAGCGCCCCAGGTACGAGGGAGGTCTGAAAGCATATAGGAAGCACCACAGACAGCACCACGGGCACCACCACTTGCAGCACCACAGGCACCATGGACATGGATCTCATCACCACGGGCGTGTCGTCGAGTGAGAGGGCCAAGCGCACTCGGCTGCAGGACGCTCTCCTTTCCTTCCTGCAGGAGAGAGCCACCGCCTCCCGCTCCTCCTTCCAAGCGCCTCAGGTGGTGTCAAGAGCCTCGGGTACTCCCCCAGGTACTCTCAGGAGCCTCAGGTACTCCCTCAGGTACTCTCAGGAGCCTAAGGTACTCTCAGGGAGAGGCCTCAAGTAACGGTGGTGGTGGGTTGGTGCGGTATGGGTACGTCTGTTGGGGTGTCTCTTGTACTCTACTCGCACGTGTTGTTAGTGTCGCTTGCTCTCCTGTGGGTGCATCTGCACCAACTTACTCCCACCTGTGTCCTCCTGTTGTGTTTTGAGCCGACTCAAAACACACTCAGGTACGCCCAGGGAGAGGCCTCAGGTAACGGTGGTGGTGTGTTGGTGCGGTATGGGTACGTCTGTTGGGGTGTCTCTTGTACTCTACTCTACTCAGTATGGGTACGTCTGTGGCTTGTGCACATGTTCTTCCCGTTTCCACCGAAATTTACCCATTTGCACCGCATTCACAGGTGTGGGAGGACCTAAGGCAGCAATCATCCATACCTGTCACTCTCTTCGAGGTGAGCTTTGCATATTAAAGCCTCATAGAAGGTGCCTCAGATAGCAGTTCTCCGTAACGGACATTTCGAGGTTTGCTCCCCATCTTAAAGCCCCAGAGTAGGCGCTTAAAGCTGAAGTATACATTTGTCATCCAGGTTTTGGGTTTAGAAAGTCACCTCACGGTCTCACAGGCAAACTTTCAAATTTCAAAAGTTTTTGAACCCCTTCTGTCAAATGTATACGAAAGCTTTAAGGCAGCAATCATCCATACCTGTCACTCTCTTCGAGGTGAGATCCTCGTCTTGATTCAAAAGTGATCCAAATTCAGTCCGTCCCATTCAAAAGTGATCCAAAGTTGGCTCATCCAAAAGTGATTCAACGCAATCTTCATCTGGCTCATCAAAGTCGGCACTACACTCGTGTGGCTGTTGCGCATCGTTGGTTTTATGTGCCTCCTTGTTAAAGTGTGTCTCCTTGTTTTGCCCGCCTTCTCTTGCTATACTAGGTTCGCGAGGCTCTAGGGCGGCTTCATGGGGAAGGCAAGGTGGTGTTCATTGATGATACTGTTAGAGTGGCATGACATGGTGGATACACTTGATACAGTATGACAACTGTGGAAGTAACCCTTAGGATGTTTGGTAGGAATGTGGAAAAAGAAGGTAACAACACAGAAAAAAAGGTTGGGTGGAAACCCAGCCGAACAAGGGGCGTGTTCAGTATAGCATGAAAGGAAATCAACGTACAGTGAACCCTGATTTGTGACTTGCTCTAATGATGGCCGAGAAATGATCCCTTACATTCACTAGCATGGAGACAGGCCCTCAGATTTGTTGGGCTGAGAAATAGCCCTTAGGACCTTTTTCAAGGCTAAGATCTCTTGTAGTAAGAGTGTTGTAGTTTGCGGAAGCGTTAATAAATATTTACTTGAACCACCTTGCACTGGTATGTGAGAACAAGATAAGTTGATAATAGCAAAGATATACAAAGCTTTTATATGATTACAAAGGAATATGAAAGGTTCTACTTTAACTGTTTCTGTTGTTGCGGTTCGATAGTGACGACTCGGGTAACTGCTCAGTATCGAGTCAGTTATGTGTCCTTGCTGTCGCACTGTATTTTTCGTCGAGTCAAAGGTCAGCAACCTTTGACCTTCGCGTAACCTCCAGCTGTTACGGCTGTTGACTCGCGTATTGTTTCGCTTAGTCCGCTCCGTTTCGTGTCGATACTTCGATTACTTCAGAAGCGTTAAGTTATTAGTTTCCAATTCCAACACTCCCCTTCGCTTCTGGAGTGTCGCTGCTGATGACGTGTCATTGTCCAGTCAGCAGCATGCAGTACGCGAACTTCTGTTTTCCGAGTTTCTTGGTCAAGTAATCGGCTGCCATCTCGGATGTGGGACAGTAGGATAGCTCGAGTCTTCCCTTCTCGATTTCGTCTTTTATGAAGAAGTACCGGAGGGCGATGTGCTTCGTTCGATTCGCGAACCCATTTTTGTTCGCTATGCGAATGGCCGATTGGTTGTCGCAGAAGAGGGAGAAGCTGTGTAACCGAGCCAATTTTGCTTCCTCCAGCAATTCGCGAAGATATAGCCCTTCCTTGGTGGCTGAGCAGGGTGCGATATATTCTGCTTCGGCTGAGGAGAGAGCGATTAGCTCTTGCTTGTTCGACTGCCATGAAATAGGGCCGATAGGTTCGAGTCGGTAGATGTAGCCAGTACGAGATCGCCTGTTGTCAGAATCTCCAGCGTGATCGGCGTTGCCGATGTAGAGTCCGCCCTTTCCGTGGAATAACTTGAACTCCTGAGTGGTTCTGTCTGCTTCGAGATGAATGCCCTTCGCCATTAATTGACTGACGCTGAGTAAGTTGTAGCCGAGTCCTTCTGCAATTAGAACCTTTGACATTTGTAGAATAACGTTAGTTTCTCGAGACTGAAGTTGCACGATCCCTTGTCGTCGTGTGTGCAGGTTTTGGTTGTTGGCGACGGTGATTACAACTTCGCGCTGAAGTTGATGTTCCTGTTGAACGAAGCGACCCGAGGAGCACATGTGCTGTCCGCAGCAGTTGTCCAAGAACCAAGTGTCTTTCCCGGACGGCTCGCTCTGGGCGATGGCTGCATACGTCGGGTTGGGCTCCAGTGATTCGCGGCGAGGAGTGCGTTCGTCGAGTTGTTCTTCTGGTGAGTAGAACGGTGGTGATCCGGTGATGCAGGAGTCTATCGTTCTTGTCATACAACTTACGATTTTTCTTGTGCCTTGCGCAGGTTTTGTAGTTGATGACGTTGAAGACTGTACTTGATTGGTGGGATGCGCCTGCGTAGAAGCTACTTGACTGCTTGAGGGCCGAAGTTGACGTTGCGGCGACGTTGACTGCTGCTGATTCGGGCAGTGTGTGCACGGATGTCCGGACGTTTTGCAGAGGTGACAGAAAGGTGGGACGTACCGTTGGTTGCTTTGTCGATTGTTGTTGTTGTTGTAGCGTCGTTGAGTGTGAAACGCGAACTCTGGTGCTGGCGCTCTGTTCTTGTGTCGTTCTTCGTGCAGGTCCATATCCTGCTGTTCAGCGTGAATTTCGACGCAGAGTGCTGCTTCGGAGATTTTCCCGTGAGCTCGGAGGAGTGCTCGAGTGGAGCACCAATGAGGACCGAGGCCAGCGATGATGACTGTTACAAAGGCTTCTTCGGATATCGATCCTCCGCATCGAAGGAGTCTGTCGCGCAGTCCACGACAACGGCTGATATACGCCATTCCCTTTTCGCCGGGTTTCATTTCCACTGTTGTCAGCTGTGCCATGAGACGACTTTGGTTAACAGTGTCTGTTTCTTGATACAGGTTCTTCATATGGTCGTACGCCAGCTCGGCGGAGTTGTCGTATCCTCGATAAGACCGAATGTTCTGCTGCTCGTTTGGCGTTATGTTTCGAAGAAGTATCGTGTACGCCATTAGCGACTGATATGTGTACTGCTGCTAGTCATATTGTGTCCCATGCGTTGGGTATGGCAGGGACCCGTCGAAGAATCCAAGTATTTGCACGCCCTCCATCATCAGCTCGAATTCGAATGACCAGGTATAGAAGTCTTTCCCGTCGAAAGGTGTTGATGTCTGCAGTTTTAAGACATGTGCGAATTGTGATTGAACCTGAAGCGCGTCCAATGTCTTCTCTTGTCCAGGTGAAGACTGTTGGTGTGGCGCGAAGCTGATGGAGCCACGTTGAGGTTCGTACGGAGCAAAGGTAGGTTGCTGCTGATTTCCGCGCGCATAGGATGAACCGTCAAGGCTCATTGGAGTAGCCCTGTTGTTGTTGTCACTGTTGTTTGATTGTGCAGGAGCTGCTTGCTGGTGTTGCTCGTAGAAGGACATGAAGGAGAAGAACTTCTCCATCATGTTTAGGTCGAAGCCTGCTGCTTGATTCCCGGGAGTTTCGGTCGACTCCGCAGCTGGTCTTGTTACTGTTCCTTGCTCTGTCTGTAGGCCAGAGGCTGGAGGTGGAGTAGGAGTAGTGCCGAGAGATCCGTTGGAGGAGCTCCTCTCCTTCTGTGTTGCCATGTCTTGTGTTGTCGTAGGAGTTTTGGAAATCGATCTTGCCTTGGAGGCTCTCATACCATGTTGGGCTGAGAAATAGCCCTTAGGACCTTTTTCAAGGCTAAGATCTCTTATAGTAAGAGTGTTGTAGTTTGCGGAAGTGTTAATAAATATTTACTTGAACCACGTTGCACTGGTATGTGAGAACAAGATAAGTTGATAATAGCAAAGATATATAAAGCTTTTATATGATTACAAAGGAATATGAAAGGTTCTACTTTAACTGTTTCTGTTGTTGCGGTTCGATAGTGACGACTCGGGTAACTGCTCAGTATCGAGTCAGTTATGTGTCCTTATTGTCGCACTGTATTTTTCGTCGAGTCAAAGGTCAGCGACCTTTGACCTTCACGTAACCTCCAGCTGTTACGGTTGTTGACTCGCGTGTTGTTTCGCTGTAGTCCGCTCCGTTTCGTGTCGATACTTCGATTACTTCAGAAGCGTTAAATTACTTGTTTCCAATTCCAACAAGATTCACCTTTAGGTGCCCTGATCAATCAGTGTCCTGTCAAACATTATATCTTTATCTTGTACTAGGCTGTAGTGGGTTTAGCCTTAGGGGGTACACAATTTCTCTGACCTTTACTTGTACCCCCTTTTGACCTAGTGCACTCATCCTTAGATTCTAACATGGTTTCAGAGTAGGTCCTGTTCTAGGACCTATTTTTTTTTAGGGCCCACCGAATTCATTTCCTTTCTGCCCAGCGGTAGTTTTTACCCTGCCCGGCCCGTCGTTTTTGCCCTGCTCAGCGCGCCATCGCGCTGCTGCCCTGCCCTGCCCAGCATGCTATAGCGCTGCCCTGCCCAGACCCGCGCGCTGTCGCGCTGCCCAGTGCGCCCACCCGCCTGCTGCCCGTGCGCTGCCCGCACGCTGCCCGCGCGCTGCCTGCACGCCGCTCGCACGCTGCTCGCGCTGCCCTCACGCTGCCCGCACGTCACCCGCGCTGCCTGCACGCTACCGGCCCGCCCTCCGCTGCCCTGTGCGCTGCATTGCCAGCGCTGCCCTGTGCTGCCTGCGTGCGCCCCGCCTGAGCCGCCCGCGCATTGCCCTGCGCCACCCGCTCGCGCCCCTGCCTTGCTCTGCTTGCGCTGTCACGCCGCCAGCTCGCGCCCCTGCTGCACTGCCTGCACCGCCAGCTCGCGCCCCTGCCCTGCCCTGCTAGCGCGCCTGCTGCTGCTGCCTGCCCCACCAACTAGCGCGCCTCCTGCTGCTCACTCCGAGCCGCCCAGTCGAGCCGCCGGGCCGAGCCGCCCTGCCGAGCTGCCCAGCTGAGCCGCCCTAATGAGCCCCCCCCCCTGCACTAGTGCTACCCTTGCCCCGCGCACTAGTGCCGTTTTGCACCAGTCCAACAGTTACTGCCGCCCTTACTACTGCTATTGCTACTAGTGTTACTGCTGCTGCAGCTGCCCGTTATTGCTACTATGGCGACTCCTACTGTGCTCACCTTTGACGTCGAGGGCCA